AGTATCTCAAATTGCGCAGCTGTCTGGTAGGAATGAAGATTTAAAAAAAACAAAAAACTTTTTAATGAGAAAAAACTGTCAGACTTTGCCCTAGTAATGGATTACCTGGATTGTGGAGGTGAGACATTGGAAGAAGGGAAGACCGCTACAGACGGCTGAACAGTAATGATTTCCCTAGCATAGCTCCCAATATGCTGGCCTGCATCCAGCTTCTGTGCCAGTTCTTCTATGAACACCTCAAATGGAACCTCTTCCGTGTTTCTGTCTTGCTCCATTTCATGTGCTCCTATAGAACAAACACGCATTAAACTTGTACATATTTGTGACTGTGTTTTGTGAGGTAACTTTTTATGTGCTCGCTGTTCCAGATTTTGATGATTGTCCCTAGCGTGTTGATATGTTTGCCTCCTCAAGTGGTCATCTGTGTATGAGGTTGTCCGTAGCCAGCGTATTTCTAAATGCCATCACCAGGATGATTCCCCTCTAACTGTTCACTGGAGCAAAAAAAAATGGAAACGGCTGCGCTCATGTGATCCTCTTGTACCGAGCCTTCTCTCTTCCCTTGTTTAAGTTCGAGTGAGTCCTTTTTCTGTTGTCCATGTCACTGCCTATGAGATGTAGACACTTTCTAGTGCAGGGGTGGACAACTGTGGCCCTCCAGCTGTTGTGGAAGTACAAGTCCCATAAGGCATTACAAGACTCAGTAACTGCAAGAAGCAGAGGCAATTTGGGATTTGTAGTTAAAGCAAAGCTGAAGGGCTGGAGTTGCCCACCCCTGGCCTAATGACTGTGCAGCAGCGGGGTCCTCTCAGGATTCTGAAACAGGGACCCCTCAGCAGAAGGGTATGGGAGGGCATTGATGGTCTCGGGCGCATCAGTAGTGATGAATTAGCAGATCCCAGCACCCAGAAACAGTGCCGGTGAGGGCCCTGTGTGGGGGTGGGGATGGGGCGGGAGAATTAGGTGAGTTTACTTTGCTTGAGATAGGAAGACCCCAAAAACAGCTTACAGGATGAGTTAGAGGGGGGAGGGAAGGGGCCATTTTTTGCCTGGAATGGGGCTTTAAGGAAAAGGTATACATTTTTTTTTTTTTTTAATTTAGTAAAACATATGAAGGACATTATTCCTGAGGTTCATAACACTATCAGTACTTCCGTGCAGGCCCAGGTGTACGTACTTTGGTGTAATTGTAGAAGTGGGACAGTAAAACCGAAAAATAACTTTAGTGTCCAACCTCTGACCCCCCCCGCCCCCCCCCACCCCCCCCTCCTTACTGTATTTTGTGCTTTTTGTCATACTTCCTTTTTCCACATGTCTCCATGCCAGTCGGGTGATCTGCAAGCTCCTCTTCTTCCTAAGATCTTCTCCGGCACTGGAATGTCCTCAGTGACGCAGCTCTCTACATATTTACATATCCATGACTATGGCGGGTCTATGATACCCTGCACTCCCAGGATGTCCTCAGTCCATCATGAATAGTACTCAGCCTCATTCAACCCAGGAGACTGAGGACATCTGGTGGTGGAAACGAATTATTGCAGGAGACCAGGAGTACCAGAGAGGAGGCGATGATTGCAGCCAGAGTAGTTTTTCTTTTAGCATAGGGGCTGGTGTGAACGTCCTGTAACAAGAAGCAGAACAATTGTAGTAGAAGAATATAATAGTCACTTACAGTAGTGTGGTCCCATCCAGGTTGTTACAAAGTGAAGTATTGCCCTCTCGCTACAGCCGCTGTAACTTTCAGACTGTCAGAGGGGCCGTTCATGTCGGATGTACCTGAAAACGAGAGTAATAAAGCGTGCAACGCGTTTGCGTGTTATGGTAAATTGATTGCAATGGTAATGGGGGGGGGGTTGGGCAGCACACAAACCTGCAGAGAGTGATCTTTGACAGTTACGTCTCCCAGCCAACTGCTGCTGCCCCTTCCAACCGCTACTGAGCTTGTGCCACCGTACTGCCTCGGGGAATCAGAGCCGCCAATACCCTGTTTCCCCGAAAATAAGACCTACCCCGAAAATAAGACCTAGTACTATTTTTGGGAATTGCTAAAATATAAGACCTACCCCGAAAATAAGACCTAGTTGTGACCAGGGCCGGTGGTGGCATAAGGAGGGACTTGAAGAGCCGCAGGAGAGAATCAGCGGTGCCAGCGCTAGAGGAAGCGAGGCGGCACCCGAGGGAGCAGAGCCGCATAAGCAGATGCTTCCTCTATAGCGCCGGCTCCTGTCACAGGCGGAGTGATACCAAATGCTCTCCGCCTGTGAGGAATGGATAGTAAAAGTGCGCTTCTCTCATTCTGGCCAGCGATTGGTTACCAAATTGCTCTTGGAAAGGTACGGCACCCCTAATTGCCTTGATCACCATATTTTTGTACATGAATAAGTGTGGATTGTTGTACATTTAAAAAAATTAAAATAAGACCTACCCCGAAAAAAAGACCTAGTGTGTTTTTTTTGCGCCCAGAAAAATACAAGACAGTGTCTTATTTTTGGGGAAACACGGTAGTATGCTGGAACGGGGGCACAAAAATAGATGTAAACCTGATTATTCTGCTTATATTTTGCTGTTCCTGGTTTCTTCTTTTCTCCTCATCAACATGCTGTCCATTTTCATTACTTTTAGACCCGGTAGCATCATCATTGGGTCTTTAAGATTCTCTGTGAATGAAGGCCGGCAGGGTGCTGTGCATGGCCTACTGAAAGCGGGAAGCTGTGCGAACACCCACATGGGCCATGAATGAAAGAACTGAAATCCAATGAGTGAAAGGAACAGGGGTCAGGGACAGTCAGGCCGGGGCAGAAAAGAGCTTGATGATGCTGGCTGTGTCCTCCAGTCAGGAAATGATGTGGTCTCTATCTGACTTGCTGTAGCCTCTAATGCACATTTTGAGAAGCTTATGGTCTAAAGTTTAATTGGAGTAAACTATTTCAGTGCAGGAGAGGAGTCAGTACAATTGTGCAAGACTGAAGGGAAGGTTGGAGTTATACGAAGCAATAGCTATTAGATTCTGTGAATAGCACACTAAGGCCTCATTCACACACAACGCAAGTAAGATTGTATATTGCGTGTATACGCGCCTATATACGAGCGTATATGCGTGCACTATATGCAATCCCAGAATGCATCACTCGTAATGGAATTTTTAATGTGCTGTACGCATGTATGTGCGTAAACACGCGTATGTGCGCGTGAATACGCAGCAATACGCTGCCCGGACGCATCTCTGTTCCATTCCGTTTTTGCGCATATATACGGCTCCATACGCGTCTATATTTATGGAGCCATTTATTTGCACGTGTTGCATATGGTACAATACGCACATACGAGCGTATACGCGCGGCAGTGTGAATGAGGCCTTAAGGGCCTGTTCACATGATATCAGGTCCTGATCAGGTGCGGATCTGCAGACTGATGTAGTGCGTTTTGGCCGCGTTTTTGATGCGTTCAAGTTTTTGTTGTTGCTGGAGTGGGGCTGTCAGTATGTTAGCTGCAGTGCAGTGCGTTTTTGATGCGTTTTGGACGCGTTTGTGTTTCCTGACCGTTTCCGGACCTGACAAAATGTGACATGCAGTATTTTTTTCTGCCGTAAGCTGAACGGACTGCGCACGTGAGAACTGGAGCCCATAAAACACATTGGGATACATTGGGATGCATTTTGAGTGTAGCAGCGTACGGAGCCGGTCAGCACACAAAACGGACGTCGTGTGAACAGGCCCTAAGGGAATTATGTACATACGTTTACCACAGTTACACAGATCTAGCTCCTGAGCTAGGCAAATATCCCCCCAACTGTGGTTACATGCATGGAAAGGTATTGTTATGTAATGTTGCTTGTTTGCCCTTCCAACCAGAACAATAGATTCTAATGAAAGTGGAGAAATCGGGCTGTGTGTAGAATTAGTATTACCATTGTAGCTGTGATGAAGACCTGCAGTGTCTACTCCTCTCTACCTACAGTGCTGCTTCTGCTCAGGATTGTGCGACAGCCAGGCAGGGGCAACAGCTTGGTGTGTTGTGGTTAGGGGGTGTTGGTGGGGAATTATTCATATCTTTTCCTTTGCCATCTCTGATTTTGCCAAAGGCGGGCTTTACATCTACGCTCATGGCCCATAGAAAAATGTGACAATGGTTTCGGAGTTTTGCTACATCTCCTTCTGCGTATGCTATGTTCCTGGCTTACATGCTGACTTTCTACAGTACATAGTGCCATTAACTGGACCAAGAATGCGATTATCTGGCTTGACTTTACAGATATGCATGATTGTGTTGGGGAACCAAGAAACTAGACCGAAACTTAAAGTGCAGGTTAGAAAATAAAAGGAGTTTATTGAATACCACAATAAACATAAATTGCAAGAAACAATGGAAGAAGTCCAGGACATCATCCATGCCAAGCCACAGGTCAGATGCTAAAGCGGGTAGTCAGCCGAACCAGGTCAGGGAACTCTGAGAGCAGGATGAACAGAAACAATAGCCGGAGTCAGAAACCAGGAAGATCAGTCAGTCAGCCAGAGCCAGGGTAATACACGGAGAACAGGAACAACTGCAGAGCACTTGATAGATCACTGATAGAATAAATGGACAAGGTGAAGGTTAAATAGTGAACTGGTGTTTTGCATCATCACTCTGAGACAGGAGTTTTGCCAGTAGTTGCAGAATGATAATGTATGTGAGTTTGGGTATAAGAGGGCACCAAAGAGGAACAGCCTTGTCCGAAACACTGCACAAGCCATGCTACAAGCAACTGAGCAAGGAACGGTAAGAAACCCTGACAAATTATTACAGACCAGGGACTTCTACAACATGGAACCTGGTGTAAGACTCACATTGTCAGGGAACTAGGATCTTCAGAAGGGGGCCAGGAATGTGTCCCTTAGGAAAGGTTTACCTTGAGTAAATATTGTATTTTCTGATGGAGTGTAAAGTAAAGGTGGTTAAGGGACATGTGGATAGGTGGCCTGTCCCTCCCATGTGGATAATGTTTGTGCTTCTTTCTACAGTTCTGTCGCTCTGGCCCTTGGTGCTCTTACACTGTGGCACGCAATGCTCATCACCCGAGGAGAGACGAGCATAGAAAGACACATCAACAAGAAAGAGAGGAAGAGACTGCTGACCATTGGAAAGGTAAACAAACCACATCCATGAATGCAGTGACATTATAATACAGCCAGGGTAGGTGAGGATAGCTGGCGGGTGTCATGTCTGCTTTCCAAAACCTTTTTATTGCAGCTACCCTATGTTGTCAGTCTGTGCCCATGCTAAGTAACTTGCTTCTTCCTCCATCTTAGACCAGTCAGCAGGACAGGAAGTGAAGATGGAGGGTCTCTCCAATGGGTACACTGACCCTCAGAAAAACATGACCGGTGTTCTACCCTTTCTCTTTTTTTCTGTCTGTATTCTCTGAGGGAAGACTTTCAATCCTTTTGTGTGGTCAGACACCTCTCAGCAGTATACATTCTTCCTTGTTCTACTATAAAAATAACTTTTGCAATATGTGGCCCCATGGAGCCCCTGGGTCCTGTTTATGGATATGCAGGCCTTTTGATCCCTCACTTCTCATTAGGTCTGAGTGGTCTCGCTTCACTAGACTAGATGCAGTTGCCCCTTGGCCATTGGTGTAGAGTCTGATCCACCCTCCATGCACGCCCTCCCCTCCTCTCTTTGTTATGGCCTCGCTCCCTCCCTATTGGTACTCTTGCCTTCATGGGGACGGTGAGATGGTTATCTCCAAGCACCATAAGCCGATTCTGTGCCTACAGCTTATTGCTATTGTGATCACAATGTACTCTATATGATACAGATACATGGACCTGTATTGTGACAACCTTCCTACTGTACTCTTATGTCAAACGCATTAAAAAAATTATTGCCGTTTTCCCTTTATGGAAGATCTCCTCTTACATCCTCACACCTGTACCCAGGGTGAAGCGCCCCTTGAAGAGGAACTTTACCCATATTTTTGAAATTACAAAGACACCTTTTAGAAATGTTTAGTAATGACAATCCACAAACACATACTTCTAGATAATTTCCGGCTTTATATTCTTTGCATACCTTATTTCTCTTTTTCCTCTCCATTCTTCTCACAGTGGCCATTTTTACTAAGAGTAGGATAATATATCTCCCTTTACTTCCTGGAACTCTGGCACATGTGACAAGGACATGTGACCAAGCACATCATCTCAGGGGAGGAAAATGCCTTTCCCTGAGATCTTGTGAGATTACAGATGAGATTTCCCAGCACTGCTCTATTGATAATCTTCCCAGGATGCAATGCTCGGGCATGTTAAATCACTAATGCCCAAGAGGACCAGGAAGTGGAAAAACTGTAAATAAAATAAAAATGTTTGTTTAATTAATGTAAGATGATTTCATATCCGTGTGCAAAGCTGTATGCTGAGGTGATTTTTAGTAAAAGGGGGGAAAGGAAATACATACCTGTTAAGGTTTTAACTCTACCTGGGGGGGGGGACCTTGGCTGGAGGTCTCTGTTTTAATAACATATCCAGCACAACAATTTTTTGGATAGAGCTGGGAGGGAATGGAACCGCTACGGGGTGCTACTGTTATCTGGTGCTCGGAGAGATTTACCCTCACTTCCTGTCCTGCTGACAACTGCTTCATTAGAAAGGAAGTGATGAGCGGTTACATGGCTTAGAGGCATCGGCAGACATTTTCATTGCTATCTGTGGCTGTTGCAGATTATCAATCACTGCTTGTTGGTGAGAATGGAGACCTGCACAGGTAGAATTAGTGATACAAGATCCTCTCCCCACAAACACAGCTTCAGCACTCGGGCATCACCCCAATATTGTTTCATTAGGTGGTTTCCTGTGTGACTGACAAGTAGACTTCCTGTTACCTGACTTGAGACCTCAGCCATTGTATGTCCCTCTGTAATAACAGTATCCTTGTGTTCACATTCCAGGTATTCTATAATCCGTACAGCTACGGTCGCTGCAGTAACTGGAGACTTTTCTTTGGCGTGGAAACAAAATTGTAAGTTATCCTGAAGTTAAAAATAGAGCAAAGGATTATGGACCTGTCATGAAAGCTAGGATCTGCCGCTGACATAATATAAGCATATCACATCATGAAAATGCCAGTGCCCTGGCTGCCATGTTACTAATGTGTGTCACAGACAAGGAAGGAGATGAGGAAAGACAGACGTCTTGTCTGCATGCGTATCTGGGGTCCGTGATACAAAGTATTGAAGTAGGAAGGCCAGCCAAGCAACTAGCATTGTTAAAGGGGGTCTGAGCAATGACGGCTTTCATTTCCTCACGTTGTAATAATATAATTGTACCAGAAACGTAATCTTGGTGTCATTATTCATGGAGAAAAAAAATCACAGAATATAATTTGCACTTTTTATCTGCAGTAACACTTCTTGTAAAACCAACTCTAGTCAAAGGGAAAAATAAGCGTGCTTTTGCAGTATTGCCAACTGAATAAGCCCCAAAAGGTCCGTGGTCCATACAGAGTATACAGGTATATAGCTGAAGTTGTCAAAGTGAACACTTATGTTTATACATTGTGTAGAGCGGCAGCCTGAGGTGGAACTCCATCTTCATAAACATGGCATTTGGGAGCTTCAAACGTTTCAGCTGATATGTAAATCTCAACCTTCTTTGGGAAAGCTTTAGTTCCTTCCTGCATCTCCACCATTGACTCTGCTACCGTCAGTGGGGAGCTGCAGGAGTGCGAGGGATATCCTTCCGCTTTTCTGAACAAAGTCAAGATATACACTGAGTGGCCAGAATATTATGACCACCTGACTATAATTTGGCACTGAAGTTGCTATATAAACTAGGGATGCACAGATACTTTTCGAGTACCAGTGCCGATACTTGGCATTTTCATGAGAACTATGAGGGTTGCAGAGGTTACAGCTGGGACCGGGCTCTGGCGCTCCACCACGGTCCTGAAATCATTAGTTGATATTGTTTTAGAAAAACTGTCACATGACAATAAACAAAAATGTATCAGTACTCGTACTTGTAAGTACTCGGCAAGTACCAGTACTCGTACTACTGGTATCTGTGCATCCATTTATTTATATTTATAAAAACAAAATCATACATTCAAACAGAGATGTAGAAATCCCAGGAGCTCCGTGTGTTCCTTACAAATGACAGCTGCCTCCTAACTTTTTAATTTTTCTCTAGTGTAGTTTTGGAGCTCAAAAGTATTGGTACATGTATTCGTACTTGTACCGAGTACTGTACTTGGTATCTGTGCAACCCTAATATAAACCATTATAAATAGGGAAGCAGGTTGTTTACCACGACAGTAGAAGTGATTTGTTTCTGAAGATACAGGGAAACAACGCGATTTAACAGCCTTTGAACGTGGAATGATTGTTGGCGCTCGGAGCCATGGAGCGAGTATCAGCAAAACAGCAGAATTCGTTAAATGTTCGAGAGCAGCTGTTGTTAAAGTGTTTAAAGACCGGACTGTCAGCCGAAAATCTGGGTCTGAGCGTGCGAATTGTAGTCGTCAGCGACTAGTCAATGTTAGGGCAGAACGGAGAGTGGCAAAACTGGTACAAGACAACACAAGGGCAACAGTGCCGTGTCAGATTCCTCGCATCACCTTTCAACATCTCGTGGAGTCACGAGGCGGCCCAACGAAGTCATCTCGCGGAGTCACGAGGCGGCCCAACGAAGTACTGATGGGGTGGTCATAATAATCTGGCTACTCAGTGTATACAGCATGTATTACAACATTGTGTTTTGCATGGTTAGAACAGTTGTGTTGTCTGTCTTACTCTTCACTGACCCGTTATTTCCTCTCTTCTCAGACATTGGATAACCAGAGTCCTCCTTCCATCTCCCCACTCTGCTTATGGAGATGGATTGACATGGAACCCTCCATCTTGGATCCCCACGAAGCAGACTTCTGTCCTTGCAATATAACAATTCCTGTACTATACGTCCTTCCAGCAAGGTGACACTATTTATAAAAGGATGATTTTTTTTCTAATCCTATTGGGCCTTTGATGTCGGCACGGGTTCAGGAGGGTAACCATTTAGATGATTAAAGACGACCTGTCTGGTGACTTAGAGATCCACTTTGTCTGTGGAAGCAACTTTTAAACAGACACTAAACCTCATTAATAAGTTGGCACAAAGAACAAAGCTAGTGTGCAATGTACAGTAGTAGCCCCTAGCAGCCAATCAGAAATCATCTTCCACTAAAATCTGAGTGGCTGCTTTTTATCACTCCATTTTGTATATCATTATTCTTTTATTTTTCATCTCATTGGATGCACCTGCCTGTTATTGGGGAGCAGCCACAGCGCTAACATTGACTTCTAGTGAATGGGCTGTAGTCATGTAAAGTGATTTAAAGTGACCCTGTCACTATAGCAGACCTCTGAAACCGAGGCATACCTGTGAAAACCTTTCCTGCTGCCAGTGCCTCTGACCTTCGCTCTGATACTGATCAATCTTCTGCCGGAGTCCACACTTGAGTGAACGTCCTGCTCCTGGTTGAGCACTGTCAGAAGTGTCGGTTTCAGCACAGATTTTGGTGGCACTGACAGCAGGAAAAGGGATTATTTTACAGCCATGACTTTGGTTTCAGACATTTGCTACAGTGGCAGGGTCACTTTAACCTCTCTCAATGGCTTCCTTGGTTGTAGGCTAGACAGGTACTCTTGTTGCCATTTTGACCAGCAGGCAGTGTATTCTATTTTAGTTCCCCCATCTCATGTGCTGATGTTAATGAGACCGAGTCCCCCCCTACACTGCAGCTGGGTCAGTTATAACACAGGCCCGGATTTTTCCTCGTGTCCAGTTCCTTCAGAATTAGAGGCAACTTGAAATCTCAAATGTTTTGTTTCATCTGAATATTTTCATACGGATCTTCCTGATGTGCAAAAGAATGACACCATTCCGGAGTGCAAGGAATTGTCATTCATCTGATACTCTACAGATCCGGCTACGTGAATATATTTGGGCCAAACATTTTTCGATTCCCCGCACACTAATTATAATCACTCGATCAGTGTGAGGGCCGTAATGACGAGCTGCAGCCCGCAGAATCCCTTTGCAAACGCAAAAGTCCTTACTGCACAGGATGCCTGTAATGTGACCTCAAGCTCTGTGTAGAGTTTTGGACAAGAGTCAGGAATTCTGGAGCACATTTGCAACAAGCAAAACTTCCAGTCACGGTTCAAAGAATGTGTAAGGAAAGCAGTGACTTTTTCTAGGACGAGAGCTATATGAATGAGTGTGCTTCCCTTTGCAGTGATTATTTCATGAACACTATTACGATAGGTAAAGATGATTGTTCCTCTTACAATCAGCGCAGCAGATTTCTTTGCAAATGCTTTTTGGAAAAGGCGTCTGACCTTGAGCAGACATGATTACTGCTGAAACGAACATTCCCTGACCACGCCACTAGAGGGCCCCATCATCCTCAATGGTGGTTCTAGTGCTTTAGGGCTTGTTCACATGATATCGGGTCCTGATCAGGTGCGGATCTGCAGACGCGGTGCTACCGATAGAGTGCGTTTTTGACGTGTTTTCGGTCCGGATGCTGACAGTTCTTCTTTTTTTTTTTTTTTAGCCGTTGGGCTGTCAGTATGCAGATTCTTCCTCTGAGGTCACTTCCGCCCTCTCGGAACATCTACTTCCCTTTGTGTATGTAAAGCTGGTGATCAGACATGTATCACATGTTTGCAGGCATGGTGTTGGTGCTGGCTACAGCAATCTGCAGAGAACGAGCCCGCAGGAGACGTCATTATTGGGTACACCCGATCTTGAGGCTCCGGGACTCCAAGGGTCAGTTCTGGAGTTTGTATGAGGATTTGCGAGGTCACCCAGATACATTTTTTTTTCCTTTACTCGTATGTCGTATGACATCATAAAAAGTGGAGCAAGAATTATATATTTTTTTTGCTTAGCTGCATTGCGTTCCGTTTTTGCCGCGTTTGTGCGTTTCCTGACCGTACAAAATGTGACATGCAGTATTTTTTCTGTCGTAACCTGAACGGACTGCGCACGTGAGAACTGTAGCCCATAAAACACATAGGGAGACATTGGGATGCATTTTAAGCACAGAAAACGGACGTTGTGTGAACAGGCCCTGAGAGTGATTACAATTTCACAAACCCGGAGAAGTTACCGGCGGTGGTGATGTTGAAAAACCTCAATAACAGGAACTAGATATTTTTGTGGTCCATTTTGTCCTGATTGAGACGCTTTTTAGAGACTCCCTAGAAAGACACCCCCGTGGTGCAGAGTTATCTGTATCATGGAGGTTTTTTATTTCCTCGTACCATTATTCTATGTTCTCTGTAAATGGAAATGTTATAGTTTGCTGTATGCCGAGACTTTTTTTTCCTTTTGTTTTCCATCCAATGTTTTGTAATTGTTAAATTAAAATATTTTCCAAGTGTGAAACTTGGTGTTGGTGAAATGTGTCCTTACATATACTGACCTCTTCTATGTGGATTATGATTCTGGAAGTAGTTTCTACTCATGGGGACTCGGCTGGAGGGATCTGGAGCACTGAATGTGGTAAGAACTTGCTTCTGTAGTAAATCTATTTTATACTTGTCCCGGAATCTCACAGAAGCACTTTCAATCGTATGTCAAAGCCAGAAGGAAAATAAAATCTTAACAGCAATGCAATTTTTTTTCCAGATAGAAACGATCAGCTTTTTATTGTCTGTTGCCCTGGAGCGGTTCATCTATCACTTCCTGTCTGTTAAAAAGATTGTCTACAGAAGCCTTTCTCAACCAGGGTACCACCATGGTACGACTCCTGAGGTATGCCTCCAAATTTTGTGTTTGTGGGACTGTGAAAGGCTAATTCAGATAGAAAGTCACTCGCACCCCAATCTCTTTATTGACTATGGTAGTGTAACATCTCACAGCATCTCTCCATGTGATATGAAAAGAGGGCTTCTGGTGTGAAAAGGGTGACTCTGATGTAAAGGGGGGGGGTTAATTTGAAGGGGGCACCCCACTTTTTTTGCATGGAGTGCCTCAAGGTTTTTCTTACTTTTAAAGATGGCCATGCCTAAAAAAAGGTTGAGAAACGTTAGTCAGGGGTTCTAATCTTTTCCCGCTCTATCCCAAAAAGTTTTAAGTTTAGATACACATTAAAGAAGAACCCCAGGAATGTAAAAAGGTAACCCTTCCAGTGGGGCCACCCACACACTAAAAGGGTTAACTGCTCATTTTTCTCCAGGGGGGGCAAATATAGAGGATATGCTCATGGAATCATTGTTCGGTGCTCACCTCTTTTCTCTGGCTGTGGAATGTCCCTCGGCATCCTCACATCTAATGCAGGTGAATGGATTACATTAGACATATTAGCGGGACTTAAGGTGGCCATACACTTTACAACCATTGCAAGACCTTAGTCTTGCGATGGTTGTAAAGTAATTTAAAAAAAACGTACGATCTGCCCATCTTGGACAGGCAGATCGTACTCTCAATCATCGCAAGACCGCCCCCCTGATTTGTCTCCCGAGCATCATTCAAACCAGCCGAAAATCGTACGATTTTCAGCTGGTTTTCTAGCGTGCTCCTTAGACAAAAGACATGCGACCGTACAGTAGAAACGGTCGCACGTCTTCGTTCACACTGCTCGATTCGCGTACGAATCGAGCAGTGTATGGGCACCTTTTAGACTGCGGAAGTTCAGGGACCGGTCTTAGCATGTAGGTGGGATTGAGAATGCGAGTATAATTATATAATTATTTTTTTTTGAGCCCCATAGACCAAAAGGAGCAGTTAACCCTTGTAGTACAGGGGTAGTCCCAGACGAATTCTATACATATATGTATAGAATTATATGTAGAGAATGTATAGATCTATATCTAGTGTAGGTTTCCCTAATTCTACATAATGCCTCACCTGTGGCCTTCAGTTTTATAAACTGACAGAGGACCCATCGGTTCTCTGGTTGATAAAGACTTGTTTCCTCACCACATCCTCCTTCCTGTTGTCAAGGGCGCACAGTACACATTTGGCCTTTACTGCCCCATCTGTGTTGTAGTTTTTGTCCTGGACGTTGAACAGTTCATGCAATCCACATAAAAGTGAATATATGATAGTTATCAGTTACCATGTCCATTGTGTGACAGTCACACTGCAAGATAAAAATGCTTTGTATACATCCCCTAAACCAAGGGGTAGGCAAACTCTCTGGACCTCCAGCTGTAGTGCAACTACAAATCCCAACTCCGACAGCCACAGACATGACCCCAAGGGACAGATGCATTATGGGATTCCCCCCCCCCCCCGCAGCCACCAGGGCACAAAGAAATAGCATTGAATAAAACACCATGACGAGTACGTTGGACAAAGCGGCTAGATTTAATGTAAACATATATCCATGATGCAAGGTCTTGAAATATTTCACATTTAATCAGCAGAACATATTGGAGCCGTGTAGAAGTTTAGGTTGCATCATAAAGTAATTTGTCTCGACACGTAACATTGATATTATGTCTGTGTTACATTGCAAAAATATATGTACAAATACAATTTACTAACAGGGTCATGTATTACACCCCATACCCGTCCTGTACAGGGCGAAGGCAGATGGTGTGCCCGGCCGTCTATTCTCGGGGAATTACTCCAGACAAAACTATTTTATTTTTTTGGATAGTTAAAATGTGTCAAGTTTTCATTTTTGCCTGTGACCCCCACTGGGGAGATTGTGTCCTCACTTCCTGTTCCTGTAAGCAGGACCCTGTACGATCTCCCCAATAGGGACACATGGCCAAAAAAAAAGAAAAAAAACTTCAGCCTTTACTGCTCTTTCCAAAATAAAGTTTTGGTTGGAGGTAACATTTGAAGCGAGTAGTTGGACTGGAATGGTTAAAATGCCTGTAAAATGTGTTTTTATGATCTGTGTCTGTGTGGAGGTTCACTTCCTTTCCTAGATGACAGGAAGGAGGGAAATGCCCTCTTGGACTGTTGTCCCCACTGGAGAACTTCTGCTTAGTCCCGTTTGGGTGACAACTGTAAAAAAACAGATTTCCCATCACTTTGTCCCAGTGACGGCTGTGGTCAGGACACATGGGGTGAATCTCCTCCACAGGGACACAGACTAACAAACATTTGACAGATGTTCCAACCATTCTATACGTCCAAGATACAGATCTACTTTTATACCTTTCAGTATTTTAGAACACAACAACCGCCAGGTCTGGGTACATGACAGGTACACTTCCATCACAGCTGTTCCTTACAGTGTATGCACAGCCAACATTTCGTTTGCATGGAATAGCAAAGGGTTATATAACCCATCAGGTTGTTTTTTGCTGTCTGTGTGCCATTGGGCAAATTTTCCTTTACCTTCACTCAAAGATGCGACAGGAAGTTAGAGGAAATTCCCCTTGTAGACATTTGCCCTCAAAATAGGCGTCCCCATTGGAAGAATTCCCTCTTTTTCTGGGGACAACTCTAAATTTTGGATTTCCGCTCACTTCCGTCTTGCTGACCAGTACAAATAGAGGGATGAATCTCCCCAATGGGGACTCAGACAGAAATATAAACCTGACAGATAGTCTAACCTCCACTCCATCCAAACTAAACTGGTTTTGCTTAAAACACTTTAATATCCAGTTTTGTGACATTCAACCAAACCACACACACAAATATCCTTGTGGTTTCATACTAAAAGCAGAGCACAAGGCCGCACTCATGAAATCATATACCTATACAATATACATTATATATAGATTTAATATACTAGATTTCCTCCTAGACATGCCAGATTTCCTTCTACTGTAAACTTGTGCTAATATCATTGAAGTGCAAAGGACGCAGTCAGCTCGGGGTGGCAGATGCAGCCTAGAACTCGATATGGAAAAGTAAGACATGGAATGCGAGGGAAGGGTATGCAGACACAGCCCTTATGGTACAAGATGTAGGCGTGGCTAAACAAGATGGCACCCAAGTCATGTTGGTTGTACAGGTCAGTAAGTTAGTGGCATCCTGGTTAGATTGTCTCCGTGCAAAGTTAGTAAATGTTCAGAGGAAATTCTCAGCTTCCGGGGCATCCAATTAGGAACCTTCCAAAAAAAAAAAAAAATAGGATGTTACATTTAAACAAGAAGTCATTTTATGATAACATGATGCTTTAAGATTTTGGCTGACCTCATAAGTGCACCTACGGATCTATGATTATTAGGCTATCATTCCAGGTTAGGTTTCAAGTAGTGATGCACTCGGGGGTTCAGACCCAGTCCAATCCTGAGCTCCTCCGATAACATGGAAGGAAGCTCCGTCTGCTGCCATCCAATCAGCTGGAGCCAGGGAATTCCCCACCCGCACATAAGCAAAGGGGCGGGATGCAGTTATGTCATTGACCTTATATGGCCACATGGCTATATGTGGTCAATGATGTCAGCATAAGCATTCCACCCCTTTGTTTATGTACAGCAGCAGGGAAGGTTGCTCACGGCATTTTCGTGTCCAGAGGAGCTCAGGTTTGCTCTGATCCTAAGCTCATCCCTAGCTATAAAGATACGTTTAGTATTCTCTCTCAGGGCCCAACACTCAGTAACACAATTCCTGATGGGTCCCGAGTCCTATTGGCCCCCGACAGCCAGTCATATGGATCATTTTTCCTTCTAGTAACCCTGAATGCTGAGTTACGTATTTGGAAATGCTATAAGGAAACAGGAGAAACCTAAACAGGTAAGGCCCTTGAGAGCCCCAAAGGATGCCAGTGTGGAGGTGAAAGTTTCTATTGGAAGGCCAAGGTAATAGAGTAAGAGAGCACTACTAGTGAACTAGCCGCAGACATCTCAAATTGTGTCCATTTCTTCTGCATTGGCTGCAATTTGAGCTGTAGTTGGACCCGTCTGTGTTAAAATTGCTCCACAAAGTCAAGTGAAAAATAGGAAGGAGGCGGGAGGAAAATAGTTAGCTGAGCAGATACGGCATCCAATCAGATCTGGTCACTGTTTGGGTATTGCTGCTATCTGAATACAAGAGTCGGCACGGCAGATTCCTCCATCCATTCTGTTCCACGTGGATGGGGGAACCAATTGATTTCTTGTTCAGTTGAGGGAAATCTGTCCTTAAGCCAGCCATACACAGTTTTGTTTCCTCATCCCCAGCCTAGGGGCTGAACAAGAGAAATCAAACTGCTTCTTTCCCCATCTACACTATTATTATACAGGATTTCTATAGCGCCAACAGTGTGCACAGCGCTTTACAATATAAGGGAGACAAGATGGTAAGGATGGTCCTGCCCGTGAGGGCACCAAACAGCATCGATGAGGAATGTCCCCCGACTGACTGCGGCTAACTTACAATTTTCTGCCTGACTACTTCAATGCCCCCTGAAGTTTAGTTTGTCAAGCCGGGTGGTGTTGGTAGGGCCGCCGTCGGTTACAGGAGGTTAGAGGCAACTTTACTTTAAACTATGACTGGGAAAGACTTCATGTTGGGTTAATCCAAGGTTTGCCATCAAATGATGCCAACTTACCACTGACAGCGAGCCTCCACGGCCTCCTTCCTCACTAATCTCTTCTTATCATCCAGTGGTTTGGCTAAGGCACGGAGAACTTGCTGCTTGTAAGGCAGGAGCTGCAAATAGAAGGTTTATTACAAATAAACCAGAGACAGTTCTTTATTCATAGACGTTTGTGTGTTTGATGGGGAGAGGGATAGATTACCATAGGCAATGGGAGCTTGGTCAGGGCCAGCATACACTTCAGAGCTGAAATCCGGACAGCCTGGAAACCAGAAACACAAATGTGTCCAAATATGAAACCAAAGTATACGCTTTAAATGGATTTACACATTATTGTTATTATTTTCTACTAATTTACAAATCTAAAAAAAAAAGGAGCTATATATTCCTTTACAAAAAGGGCGCTTACTATTTCATCAACATTCCTTATTGATGTTACTGCTAAATAAGAGATACAAATGTAAAAACCAGATGACGCCATTTGTAGGTCCGATACGATGCGCCAGCCTATGCGGGCTCTGTACATACGCCATTTGTAGGTCTGATACTATGCGCCAGCCTATGTGGGCTCTGTACATACGCCATTTGTAGGTCTGATACTATGCACCAGCCTATGCGGGCTCTGTACATACGCCATTTGTAGGTCTGATACGATGCTACAGCCTATGCGGGCTCTGTACATACGCCATTTGTAGGTCTGATACGATGCTACAGCCTATGCGGGCTCTGTACATACGCCATTTGTAGGTCTGATACTATGCGCCAGCCTATGTGGGCTCTGTACATACGCCATTTGTAGGTCCGATACGATGCTCCAGCCTATGCGGGCTCTGTACATACGCCATTTGTAGGTCTGATACGATGCTACAGCCTATGCGGGCTCTGTACATACGCCATTTGTAGGTCCGATACGATGCTACAGCCTATGCGGGCTCTGTACATACCATGCTAGGGCTACAAGTCAGGTGGAGGAGCTTTTTGATGAGCGTATCGATGTGAATTTTCAGTATATCCGCAGCATCCAACAGAAGAGGCTCCAGGCAGGTGAGTGTGGACAGCTGAACAACACGGTCAGAGCAGGAGAGGGCCTCCAGCAGCAGAGAGAACAGCTACACAGGGACACAAACACATCCAGATATCAGAGGAATCTGCACACTTATCACAGTGTACACCTTCCACAGAAGCAGCAATTTTATAGGTACAACTGATTGGTGACCAAAAAACAAACAGGTCTAGGAACTCGTCACTAAGGTGTCGTAAATAAGGTGACCCAAAACAAAAATATAATTTCCCTCAGAGTTCTGCTTTAAGCTCACAGGAAGTGACAAGGACATGTCATTTCTAGGAAAATCCCCAGGTACTATCTCTACTTGCTGAAAATGTTGGTAGCCTGAAAAAAGAAAACAGATGCAGCCACCAGGTCTAAGAAGTGTTAACCGGCAATAGAGGACATTCTTGTTCTCGAGTTTATTTATCCTTTAATTCACGTTTTGCTTGTGTGCAGCAACACTTAAGACCCCGACTACTCAAACAATGAAATCCCTTTGTGCATTGTCAGCCCCAAACACACATCACTGGAAACAATACAAACTCCACTTACTGAGGGCAGCTCTGTCAGGAGAACCTGCTTTGGCAAACAGTTGAGCACATGAGACAATGCTTTCAGGTAATTTGGTTTATTACCTACACAGGAGGAAAAAAGAAACCAGCAGTAAATCAGCAGACTTTGTCCTGACTAGAAGCTTGTACAATTCATGCCCCTGACAGACCCCCCCCCCGTGTCCCAGGACGTGCCCCTGACAGAACCCCCGTGTCCCAGGACGTGCCCCTGACAGAACCCCCGTGTCCCAGGACGTGCCCCAGACAGACCCCCGGGTCCCAGGTCATGCATCTGACAGACCACCGTGTCCCAGGTACATGGAAGACAAAACACGTTACCTTCATTAGCAGAGTTGAAACCTTCTACCAGTTTGGGGACATTCTCTGTGAAGAACCTCTGGCGGAACATGATCCGAATATCCGCATGGCACGCTTTGTTCAGGATATCCGGACACTCCGAGACCAGAAGAGAGAACATGTCAGCAGCCAGCGGTCCCAGACCTCCATCACACAGCAAGCCAATCATCTGAGGAGAGACCAGCCAGAATACAAAGATTTTCACATCTAGTATCATAGACTATCTTGATGTAAAATTATTTTTAGTAAGTTTCTATGTGTAGTTTGTAATGATATATGTAGGTGGGGAAGCCATATACCGTATAGAATACATATGCTTCCTGCTGTACAGTGCTACAGCAGGGAACCATACACTCGCTGTATGGATAAACTTTTATCTCAGCAGGCAGTCACTGTAGTAGCTAATCACGTGTACCTAGCAGCTCACAGACAATTCTCTACGTAAAACTTTAATTAAAAAAAAGGAAATGTGTGAAAAAGTGAGCATTCCAGACGGATAGCATTGAACTTGTATCCTAAAACAGAAGCATCAATGGTAACACCATTATAAATAGCACTATGGTGCCCCATAGACATTACATTCTCTCACTCCAACTCTTTCAGGAGCCTACCTCTCTGCATAAGATAAATAGATATTCTACCAGTAGCTAGGGAAGTGCAGCCAGAGATAAATGCCTGGAACTAGGGATGCCCGATACCGATACTACCGGTAGTTTCAGTGCCGATGCCGAGTATATGGGCAAGTACGTGTACTCGTCCAAATGCTCCAACGCCTAGCCCAATACCTCCGATATCAGGAAGCTGGCTCCATGCTCCCTCGTCACTTGTGACGAGAGAGCATGGAGCCGGCTTCCCGGCCAATCCGGAAGCTGGGCAGCATGTAATGATACGCAGCCCGGCTTCCTAATTTATCATAAGCTGGCCAATCAGGAAGCCAGGCACTTTTGCGGCTTCCTGATTGGCCAGAAAGTCTGCTCCATGCTTTCTCATCATCTAGTGACGAGAAGCATGGGGGCGGCTTCCCGGCTAATCAGGAAGCCAGGTGGCGAGAATATACACGCTTCCCGGCTAATCAGGAAGCCAGGTGGCAAGTTATTACACGCTGCCTGGCTTCCTATATGGGACCTCCGCTATCGGCGAGTGCCGGCAAAAAATATATCGGTACTCGTACTCGATACAGAAATACCGGTATCGGTGCATCCCTACCTGGGACGTCTGACCTCACGCTAGTGTCTATACCCAGTTCAACATCAGGGTAGAGTTCCACATCCGGGAGGTAGATGGCATCAAGCCTGAGAGCCGCGGTAATCAGGAATGTACAGATGAGAGCCGTCATACATCTGCCTCCTATTGTTCCCCCTCCCTAGCTTTTTCATGTAATGCTGCTGTTGCCCAGTCACAGTAACCTAGTATAGACTTGGCTGACAACCCTTTCATTTATACTCTGTAAATGGCAACATGATGATAAAAGGGTTCTTGATATTGCTACCGGCAAACTGCCACAGCAGGAGGGATCTTGAATGGGTAATATTACAGCTCCCTGCTAGAAGTCATCTATTATTTATTCACAATAATTACACACAAAACTCAAGTTCTGAATTCCCACTGACACCACTTAAGTTAACATAGCAAAGTACATAGTAGTTTAGGCCAGAATGTATTGATTTCTTTTCTAGTAGTCCGTTCCATCCAGTACAACATATAAAACACTGCTGGTGCTGTAAGAAGTCAGGAATAATCACCTTTTTAGTCAGCTGTCCGTTCAATGGATGGTAGCGCAGGATCAGAGCCTTGGTCACCTGCAAGAGTCACACCATTCATCTTCAGTTGCATGACATCATTTCATATTTATTTCATATTAATTGACATCCATTTCCTAATATTAAAATCCAAGCTGACAGTTATGCCTTTAAATGGGAAGATCTCAACTTTCAGACCATCTTCATATAAAATGTAGCACTACAAGTGTCACTTCTATCTAAGGCAGGGGAATAAGTACCTGTCAATAGAGCCCTGGGACCTGTGGTGACAGTGTCCTATGCATGCAATGTCTTCATTCTTCCCTCTTCTATACAGAAATGAGAAGGACCTGGTGTGATAACAAGGGGCTCTGTTGTCTCATTCTCACCCCCTAAGAGGTTGGAAAATGCCCAATTATTCAAAGCAACACTTGAAATGATCTAGCCCCTATTATGAATTTAGAGGTCCAGTAAGAGCTGCCTTACGGTCCATTCACACCAGCAGCTGTGCTTAACCATACGGCTGCTGCTGTGCGTGTCCCCGAACAGTGCCAATGCGCTCGATCGAGCAGCTTTGCACTATATGTTTTTTTTTTAATGTAGAACTTTATTGAAATGTCACAAGTGACATTTCACTCACTTCTATGGGCTCCCCACGGTGTGATGCGGGTGTACCACATCTCACTTGGTGTGCTTAAAAAAAACTACTGCCCATTCATGACAAGGCAATTTGCCTCTTCTTGCACTGGAATACAAAGCCAGTGCAGCCCAAACACAGATAGTGTGAGCCGGCCCTAAAACCTGGAACATAACCATTAATGTAGAGGTGATGCAGTGGTGACTTCCTGGGTACAGCAGCTACATCCACCACACCAATGCAATAACTGTAAGTACCTGCATTTGCCTTGCTTGCAATCCCTAACCAGCAAAGCTCAGACTGGGAAAGAGAAGCAGCACAAGGAGGAGCCAGTGAGTTGAGCTCCAGTGCAAGAATCAGAGAAAGAGAGAGCCGAGTGACAAACAGACGAGCTCCTCAGTTTGCTGCGTCTCTTTTCAGTGTTCAGTCAAATTCTGGAGGAAAGAAGACCTGTAAATGTTATTTAACTGAAGCAGAACAAATAGTTCTCCTATCCTGCCAGACAGAGCTGCGCTGTGTGGCTGAGCTGTGTAAATCGCAAAACCGGATAGACAGAAACAAATACTGTGACAGGTGAACGTATTTCATGTGTGTGTTTAGCCATTTGCCTGGAGCTCAGTGAGACTCGGAAGCTCCACACTACAGAGATCATCAGAATACTGAACCGTCACTGTGCTGTCTTTAGACTTTGTGATAACAGATGACAATGCCACATCATCAGGAGACTTTATAAATAGCTTTCTGGTTACCCAGACGAGCAGCGTCAGAGCCTGAGTCCTCGTGTGTTCATCTGCCAGGCCGAGCTCTATTCTACAAGATGCACTCTGCAGTATATTATCCAGAAGATCCCCTGAAAGGAAGGAAACAAAAACGTGGTGGCGATGTTACAATTGGAGAATCGATTTAATAGCATGAAAGACACCAGAGCTACATCTTGGATATACGGACCATCTTTGCTGAAGCCTTTGTAAGAACTCATACACACATTACTGATATGTACATAGGATTGTGCTGGCATTACAGTTGGTTCACAATGTAAACATTTCCATCTCCACACCACACCCGATTGCCCAGATAGAGTGGAGATGTGTACAGGAACAAAGTCATTTATTCAGAATGACTGTATCCGCCATCCCCCAAAGGATAACATTCTAAATATTAACCGCTTACAAGCCATCCACAACTCTGCCCCCGGATATATCTCAAACCTTGTCTCAAAGTATCACCCTAACCGTCCCCTATGCTCTTCAAAAGACCTTCTGCTTTCTAGCTCCCTCGTCAAATCCTCCCATGCTCGCCTCCAGGACTTCACTAGTCTCTCCCATCCTCTGGAACTCTTTAACCCAACCTGCCTATCGCCCACTCTGTCTTTAGGCGATCCCCAAAGACTCATCTCTTTAGGGAAGCCTATCCCACCTCAACCTAACCACTGAACTATCACATTCTCAAACAATTCATCCCCACACAGCAACCTCCTCATGTATCACTTGCCCCTCCCTTTTAGATTGTAAGCCCTCATGGGCAGGGCCCTCCTTACCATCGTGTCTTGAATTGTATTGTAATGTCTTCCTTATATTGTAAAGCTCTGCGCAAACTGATGGCGCTATATAAATCCTGCATAATAATAATCCCTACCTAGTACATCACTAATTTAGGGCCGAGGGAAGGTGTAAGCATAAGCAAAGCTACTAGGCAGTGGTGTGGGTATAAGGCGATGTCCATTTCGTCATTACACGTGTAAACATTCACACAAGAGTTAATTATGCGTACCACATAGAGATATGTTCTTTAAACCTAAAGTAGAAAATTGCAGCCGTGGTTCATTTTGGAACATATATTTAATGTGGTACACATATTAACTCCAGTGCGAATGTTTACATGTGTAATGAGGAAATGGACATTGCCTTGCACCCAAGGTTTATACATTTTATCTCTATGTGGAAATACTGACCACAAAACTGTGTGCATGGGTCCAGAGCCACAAAACCTGCGGCATTCAGATCCATATAAATGCACACGCAGTATGGATCTGAACATAGCGCTTGTTACACTCGTGTACATGACCCTTCAAAGAGAACTATGGCCAAACTTTTTTTTGCCGTTCGTTCTTCTTTGGATCACAGGAGAACATTTACTATGTCCTCCTGTGACCCAAAACTCAGCATATAGTGGGCTATTGCCACCCTATATTGACAGCTGGCTCTGCCTCTGAAGAGCCAGCTGTGCCCACCCCATCCCCTGTCTGTCCCTCCAATCAGCACTTGAGGAACAGAGAGAGGAGGGGGGAATCCTCGCAGGGAGCAGTGAATGACTCTCACCGTTCTCTGCATGGCGATCAGGAACGGAGTGATCAGCAGTTTGTGATCACTCGGTTCTCGATCTATAGAGCCGACATGCGATAGCTGCAATGTCTCACGTCGGCTCTAACTATGGGGATGAGTGCATTTCAATCTACACATAGTTCCCCTTTACAGTAAACTGGCTTTCACACTTCTGCTATAATGGAGTCAGTGAATGAAAAGTATGGAAGAAATGAGGCCAGCTTAACGAGAAAGTAACATGTTCAGACATTGGACAGCTATGGGAACCCCAATGATCACTCAGGAAAGATTCACTCACCGGAGGGACATTTGTTGATTAAACCAGCAAAGCACTTGGCAGAGGAGGAGTAAGCAAATGGACTGGAGCCAGACAGGCTCAGAGACAGCAAATGCTGCAACAGACGGCTCAGATGAGGGATTTCCACCTGTGTACAAAATACATTATTAAACTGAAGACACAAAAGAGCAAACAGACAAATGGTAACTGGAGAAGTGCTCTGCCACTGAAACAGAGTACACTGGGGTTGGCAGTAATGCTGAATGACTTTTTACCTTTAAAGTCTACATAAGCCCTGACAATTAACTTTTCTTGTTTGGTCCCCTTTTTAGCTGGTAAATACAACATTTCAAATGTTTGTTTGATCCATTTGAGAAGTTCAAAAACATTCTGCTGGACTTGTGAAAGGATAACTTCTCATGCTCTCTGCCTGTGATGAATATCATCAATTACATTGTACTCTGAGGACTACAGAATGATGCCCCAAACTGACTACATGGTCAGGGGAGGGAATGAGCTATTGTTTTCCCACTTATAAGCTGGCAGCGGAAGTCTCTTTTGGACCACCTCTCGCTCTTTTCCTCCCATCTACATAATTTCTACCTAAAATACTATATACAAATGTTTCACATTTACAGCCAGCAGGTGGCACGGTAGGTTCCTTTCACATGTCTAGAGCCTATGTATAGCTGATCTACAGCAATGTTTCTCAACCTATTCTCAGTCACGTTACCCTAAAAACTATGCAAAATATTGAGGCACCCCTGACTAAAATGTAATGGATTTTAAGTGGGGACACAAGGCAAAACACACAAAGTGTGGATGCTCCCCTTATATAAAAGCCCCCCTTCCAATCAGGACCCTTCTTTGACATCAGAATCTCCCTTTACATTAGAAGCCCCCTCCCCTTCACATCAAGAGCTCTCTTAATATTAGGTACCCCCCTAACATCAGCGTTCCCCCCTTCGCATCAGCGTACCCCCCCCTTCGCATCAGAGTGTGACCATTACAAAATTTGGAGATGCCCCTGAAGAAGCCAGAAGGTGGGGAAAGGCTAATCTTAATGTCTGGTTGTAAAGACATTGAAGGCCAAAGGTAACATTTACAGAAATCTGAATATAATTATATCAGATATAGATGTAAAATACATTTCATGATTTATTTGTTAAAATGTAATTGCACTAAATTATGTTTTTATATGTGCCGGGAATTCAGATTTAACACCTCAGCAATACAAGTAAAGAAAGGGAAGGAATTCAGATCTGTATCCAGTGAGCTTTGTAAGAAGTGTAAACCTGAGAACCTCAACCATGAGCATTGCCTGCAATGTACACCACAGCTCCATGAAATATTAACATGCCCGGTGATACTTACATTTCTTGGTAAGGAACATACAAAGGCCATCAGCAGTGCGACTAGCCGGCTCTGGATGGCTGTGGGGCCATCAGTCTGCAAACAGATTAAGAAACATTTCTATGAATATGGAGGATGTAATCAAATAAAAAGGTTACACTTCATGGCTAGCTTCACATTGGTGGTGGCTACAAAGAAAAACGTCCAATGTCTGAGCAGCATGTCACTTCTAACTGAATGGTTCTAACACAGCATTATGTCCCCTCAGCTTTTTTTTTTTTTTTAATTCTTTATTTTCATTTTTTCAGGTAAGTAAAAACAACAGTGCAGTACAGAAGAAAAGGTTGTACAGTAGTATACGAAAAACGATAGACATAGCATATACACCCAGCGTATAGATAGGATTTAACCTTTCACTGGATTCAAATGACCGTTAGACAGTGCGGAACGTAAACAGGCACCTCCAATTTTCAGGTGGGAGCGTGACTACTAGGCTGTGGAATGGTTATGCTAACTCCGACTCCTATATGAGGGTATTGTAACTAGGTGTACGCTATGCCAGGGCCATAGTTTAGGCAGTCCAGCAAAAAGGGAGAGTAAGGAGGAAGGTAGAAAAGGGTTAGGACTAAGGTAGAGGGAAGAGCAGGGATGCAAGTGGACATTGTAAATGGTTGCCATGGGTGCAAGTTGGACAGGCGTTCAGCCGTGGCCCGACAGGTGAGGGGGTAGTGTGGTTCAGGACCCTCGTGACCAGTGCGGCAGGCTATAGCCGAGGGCACTTAGGGTCATTTCCCCTCGGGCACGTCAGTGAGTCTCATTCTACCATGATTGTTCCGTACTCCGGGGAGTAGAGGTACTCTAGCGTCCTCAGCTTTTCAGCACGTACAAGCTTTTAGAGCAGTTGGGTCAGGACCCAAAGCTGAATGTCCTGCTTAAAGGGACACGGAGACAACTGGATGAGCTGCCATTGCTGACTTCTCATCCTGGAAATGCTGGTTGCCTGTATCTCTTACTAAATAACAATCATCAGCATGTAGTCAAGTGAATCACTTCCACTACATAGCTGACAGCAGAAAAAAAAAAAAAAAAAAGGAACACAAAAACACATCTGCAAGTTTGCATTGCCCTGTGTATATAACCTGCAAAACCAAATCTTAGGTACACAAACTCTCTGCAGGAAGATCGTAAACTGATTGATCAGCGGTATGTTCTCCATCTGTAGAGCTGACGTGTGACAGCTTCAGTGTGACACTTTGGCTCTAACTGTGGGGATGAGTGTGTTTCACTCTCCCCATAGTTCTCCTTTAAATTTAAATGCATTTATGCTTTTTGCCCACCCACAGATGCACACTTACATCAATTCAATGGCGTCTGCGGTATAGATCCTGCAAAAAAGTAGATGTATCTTGCTGCACTCCTTACCGGATTTCTGTAATAAATACAGGTGGGTGCTTGTAGTGACCACGGTTGGCGCCGTGAACAGTATGGAGATTCAAAGGATGTCACCAGCGCACCAATCTATGTGTTCATCAAATGTCCATTTTAATGACACAAATTGCCATTCAATTGCAAGTTCTAAACCTGATGAAGGGCACCATGCGAGGCCGCAAAAGTACTTACAATTGAATGGCAATTTGTGTCATTAAAATGGACATTTGCTGAACACATAGATTGGTGCGCTGGTGATATCCTTTGAATCTGCGTTATAGATCCGGCGCTGCAAGTCTTCACTGTCCTAGCTGCGTCTGCGCATTGCAGTCCCATAGACTTCTACAGGAATGCGTGCCGAGACTGGAGATGAAAGGAGGCAGCCTCATAGACGTCTATGGGGCTGTAATGTGCAGGCACAACCAGGACAGTGAGACTTGTAGCGCTAGATGTGAACAATCACTGGAAGCCATGGCCACAACATTGACGTATGCATCTGTGGAGGGGTAGAGTTGGTTAGATTATGCCGGTGGAGAGGGCAAATAGGATAAAAACACTTCTCCTTCAAACCACTGAGGGACATTGAGGAGTGATACGGTCACAAGTCACACAATAATAAATACCAGTGTGAAACAAGCCTAAAAAAGGGGAAAGGTTAAAAACAAAAAAGAAAAAAATGTTAGCCAGTTACACAGAACAATAAGAAATAAAAAATACCTGGAATGGATGGAATTTGGAGGTGAAATTGTTTTCAGTAAGAACAGAAACATCTCCATCTAGAAAAAGGTTTACAATCTGGGAGACGCTTGAAGAAGCCAACCTAGAAGACATGGAAGCCATAAGCCAGGACTTGTGCGTAATCGTTAAATCTAATCTGCACCAGTTATTATTCAGCACAGAGCACCAACACTGTACATAAAGAAAACAATGGCAGTGAAATGGTTCCCAGAATACAATTGTGATTGGACAAGGTGGGAGACAAACAACACTGATATGAGCCACGGCTCTCATAGCAATGGCAGACCACAAGTACAAGGAACGCGGACAAGCGATTCATAACTGAAACAGAACAATAATATAGGTACATAGGGTAAATAATTGTAGGACTCACTCAGGGTCGAGATGAGAGGTGGCCGCGCTGATTACAGGCACCATGGCGGTAAGAACACTGTCATTAAGCAGAACGTTACTTTCTACTGCAGTCTCCCTGTCTGAGGAAAGTGACAAGCATTATACTCAGTGTAACCTCACAGCATGCAAGCACACAAGAATCTGACAAGTATTTATCCAATAGTTCTGTTCCACCATTCATGTCATCCGGGGATCCCTGCAGACAACATAGCCAGGCTGGTGACCTCACTTTCCTCCATGGCAGTTCCACATTACAGCTTGGTCACCAACCAGCTTGGACTGAACAATGAAGGAACAGGAGCACAATGATGAGGTCACCACTCTTAAGTCTGCATTCTGCTCTACTAACTTCTCTTGAACATTCTCACTTAGTGTATCAGCTGTAGTGAAGATATGTTAAGACCAGTAGCACAGTCCCAACACTTTGGAAAACCCCAATTTAGATTTGTAACACTTCATTCGGGTAAATTTTACAGAACTTAATTCATACAATATCTCAAATTTAAAAAAGTAGATAAGATTGCATTCGGTCACCTTGCATTGCAGCCTGTACAGTCAGGGATAGGAGGCAGGGCACTACGGTCTTATGATAGAAGCACAGAGACTTGGCATTTTGCTGGCACTGCACAGCCACACGATGAAGACTCTCACACACCGCAACAACGTCTTCAGCATTCGTCTCCCCTTGTAAAATAATAAGAGAATGAACATGTTAGGTCCTCTGGTTCTACTATGAGCAAGGCATCACAGATACAGGATGATTCACTACCCAGATAGATAGCAAGCAAGTGAGCTGCAAGTTTGAAAATGACTTGCTAAACTATTGCAGACTTGCCAAGCGTCACAATTTTGTTGCACAATTATAGCAAGTCTGCATTGCAAGTCTTCAGATCAATGTGCTATGCAAAAGTGCTGTACACTTGCAGGACTCTTGCTGTAGACTAAGCACATTTGCTACAAATTTAAAAAGTGTCACCTAGAACTTGTGCTGCAAGTGTTCTGCAAGTCTACAACTTGCCAGGAATGTGTGCAGCAAGTTAACAAGAATTACAATTCAACCCTGACACAAGTTTGTGGCAAGTTCCTTGCTTTTTGGGGTAGAAGCTGATACAGAAGATATTGAACTGTGACGAGTACTTACCTTTCTGCCCCCCCCTGAGATGACTGAGTAGGATGGGTACTGTTTCCTCCACGATACTGTGATGCGTAGACATTGCTGCTAAAGCCTCAAGGCATCTCAGCCATACGGAATGCTCTGGGAAAGCACTGCCTGCAAGTTCAGCACCTTCCATGGATACTGCCAAAAAAGAACAGCCGGTTTAACTACACGTACATTTTGTTGGTGATAACAGACTCAGAATAACCCAACTTCATAGCCCCCCTCCAACCCCTTTTTGCATTTGATATGCATCACTGGTATGCCTAGTTTGGCCTTAGACATGTGTCACACAATCAACAGTTCAGATCCACAGTTCCAGATCAACATCTGGACATTCTTGAACTTGCCTTACTGTATTATAGCTTGGCCAATGAGCTGTGCACTGCAGTGATGTCGTGGCTGAAACCACACCACACAGTGGGGAATAGGCATTCCAGCAAGTGTGGTGAATTATGTAGATTCTTTGGCCTATGTAACTCTCTGGGAGAGCAAAATCTAAAGGAAGGGGTGCCGGGACAGGCAAGCATTATACTTCTAGAACAGTCTTTTTTTACTGAGACACTGTCACTTTAATATTTATGATAAGTGGAGGGTAAAAATTAAAAGGTGGCTTACAGTTATAAGGTTTGAGTGGTGGAGGGGGGCATCTAAGTGCAGGCAATGGCATGGATCCCAGCCCTCATCAACCTACCCATAGTTTTTAAGAGTAGTATAAGGTTCTAAAATATTCCAGTGTTAGGTCAGGCAGCAGCAGATGGAGGGGACATGGCTAAAGCTTCATTGACAATTAAAGGAGAACTTTTTCAGTGCTTTTCACTCACCTCATAGTTCTAGCCGACCTGTGACAATGAGACTGTCAATTTTAGGTGAGATTATCAGGGGGGAGGTGGGAGAAAGTGCTGGAAATTAGTCCATGAACCAATTAACAGTCCACCAAGTCACAGAAGCCTCTGCAGACCATGCAAACTCCATGACTGGTTTTAGGTGGACAACGTTATACGCAGAGATGGACAACAGCCAGTAACACATTTCATTAGTAATCTATTTTGCTTTACGGCCTCATGCATGCGGCAATCAAAGCTGCATCTGGGGATTCCTGCATTAAGAACCTGCGGATTCTTGTGTCAGAATCTCAGGTGTGTCAGTACAGATGCGCCTGCTGTGCCCATATAAGATAATGACGGCTGACAGTGGCTGTATCTGTGTGCACGGAGTCGTACATGGAGCGATTACCTGCGGATCAGGAGAGACGTTTGTCCCTGAACACAGAGATTGCAACAAATATAACTGGACTAAACAAGTGCAAAGCCATTTCACTTTATGCGCAGTATAAATAAGGTAAGTTGGTTTTCACCTACCTATCTGTAGCCGTGAGCATAGCTGAGGCACCATCCGACTAATGAATACCGATGGGTGAATTGTAGCCAATGATCCTGAAGCTTCGATCGCAGTCTGGCTACAATAAACAGAACATAATCAGCCGTGAGACATTCAGTGGATCAATAAGTCAATTAAAAGAAAAATATATTCCTCAGACATTACTCCCAACAAGCCGCATAACACAAATACATCAATCAGACATACACATCAACTGACACACACTATTTAAAGGGAAACCTTTCTATTTCCTAAAGTTACACCAGCTTAAAGGTCAACTCCAACATAAGAAATTTGTGTCTATGACATGGAGAATGTGATGAATCTTGCTTCAACATCTATGGTAAGGATCATCTAAAAGATGAAAAGAAAGGACTTCTTAAACTCCAGAGCTTGATTCCTGGGCCACCAAGCCAGGGAAACTTGGTCCTTGGCAACAAATGAAACGGTCTTTCCAAAGACCAGATCGACTTGTCCCATGACAACAGAATGTTGCATTTAAGAGGTCTGGAGTCAAACTGAGCAAATTCAACTGGCTTGAAGGAGGCTACTATCAGGCCCAGGACTCTCATGCCAAAGTGGAGTGATAGCTCCTGCACTGGAGAGCTTGAATCTGAGAATGGAGTGTCTGCAGTTTCTGCTATGGAAAGAACACTCTTCCCTGGGTTATGACCAGGAATAGATCCAGACACTCCAAAAGATTAGTCCGTTCCAATGAAAATTTCTGAAGGTTCAGCATCCATTCAAACTGCTGCACTGTTTGGATAGTCAAAGCCATGTTGTAAGACATGTAGGGGGAACAAGATAAGGACATGTAGGCAAGCACATTTATTGTCCACAGAAGTTAGAGAGTCTCCCTTGTGTAAGGTGGTGATGACATATTTGGTAGATTCAATGGAAAACTTCTCATGGTAGATTTCATACAAAATTTCAAGCCCCCTTTGGGCTTGGGAATGGTGAAAAGACGGGAATAAAACCCCTGGAACCCTTCTGCCACGGGAACTGGGGCAATGACACTTTGATCCAGAAGACAGAGAGGGCTTGATAAAGGTTTGCTAATCTGTGTAGTGACACAGGGAGGTTGGAGGTGAGAAACCGAGCTGTAAGGGGTTAATTTGAAGACCACTCACAACCGGACACACCAGAGAAATCCTTAGGCTGGGTTCACACCTAGGCGTTTTTCTGCGCTTTCGTACTTGCGGAAAAACGCTCAAACAGGGAAATGCCATTATTTTCAATGTGCATGGTTCCCATCTGGGCGGTTTTCCGCGAGTACAAACGTGCCGGAAACCGCCCTACGCCCAAAGAAGTACATGTACTTCTTTGGGGCGTTTTGGTCGGGCGGTTCCATTGGGATACAGCCAAGTATCCCTCGGAAACGCGCGTTCTTCGCGCGGTTTTTCTTACCGCAAATCGCGGTTAAAAAACCCGTGAAAAACTTGCATATTCAATCCGCCTAGGTGTGAACCCAGCCTAATACAGAGCTCTCAGAACCGGACACACCAGAGAAATCCTTATACAGAGCCGGAAGGCAGGGAGAAAAACTCCAGTTTGAAGATTTGGGACAGCATCGCCAGCACCCAAGCATCAGAGATGCAAGCTGTCCAAGCATCTCCAAAAGGTAAAACTCAGAGGCAGAAGCCTTAGGATTCTTCCACTGCGGAAGATGGTTGATCTTTCCACCAGCAGCATCCTAACTTACTGTATGTTCATTTGTGAAGAACTGGTTTCGAAGAGCTTCCGTTCCTCAAAAGGCCATGCAGCTAAAACAATTTTAACATAAGGGTTCTGCATTCCAGGACTTTAGCAAAAGTGCCCTATGCATGTGTACCGACATGAAACACATGTGAGAAATGAGACAGGAGGCTTTCAGGAAAACCATTAAAGCTAAAATTAAAGGCTACAGCCATCTGCTCCACAAGTCCTATAAACAAGATATTAACGGCAGCAGCAGTTACAGTAATACCTTGGTTTACGAGCATAATTCGTTCCGGAATTACTTGTAAACCAAGGTATTACTGTATATCTCTTTTAAGAGAGTTCGACCAATCAGGTATGGTTTGACAAGATAATGTCACAGTCAGAATCGGATGAAGGGCAGGACCGACCAGCGAGAACAGAGCTTTACAAAGGTCTTCCAACCACTTATAGTTGTGTCCTTAAAGACAGCTGCATCCTCTACTATGCGAGTCTTCAGAGACAGAGCAACAGCAATACCAGCAGGCAATACCAGCAGCTCTGGACCTGGAAAGTGCTCCACAGCTAATATTTACTAGAAAGGTGTCTACAAGTCTCCTAGATGGATTCTAGTGCCCAAAGTTCTAGAAAATGCCCTGTGCAGAAGTCAGTGCCAAAGGATATCCCTGCAACATCTAGTCCAGCAGGGTCCAGACACGGTACTCTGAATGCCAGACTGCAGAACGGCATCAGGTAGCTGCAATCAGGGACAAAGCTCCAGCTGCAATGTAGAGAAGAATCTTGACCGAACTAAAATTGAAGAATGTAAAAAGTGCAAGCAAAAAATAGCAGAGCTGAAGAAATGATGTCCATCTTCTTAGATACAGGCATGCTGAGGAGGGGTTATCCTGGCCTGGCCAACATTTTTCTGTTTGCCCGTGCCCAATCATCCTGTAGGCAGGAGTATAACCTGAAGGTTAAAGACTTGCTGTGTCTCTCAATAGATGAGAATTAAAGTTCCATTTAACCAGTTGACATCCGCGGTGTTAAACCCCCTTCCCATCCAGGCCATTTTTCAGTATTCAGCGCTGCGGTACTTTAACTGACATTTATTCCGTCATGCAGCGCTGTACTGAAATTAATTTTATACCCTTTTTTGGGGACAGATAGAGCTTTATTTTGGTGGTATTTATTCATGTGTAACATGTGTAGCGCAATTGTAATTTTTGCGCGCTGGGGCACCGGACGCGTATTTACGTTTATAGGCGCGTAAATGTGGGGGTGGGGCGAGTTAAACATTTTGGGGGGGGGTTTTTTCCCCTTTTTATATATGTGACTTATTTTATTTTACTTTTTTATATGTTACTTTATTCAAGATGGGGCAGCGGATCCCAGGCGGCGGATGCGAACGAGCACATATAGACGATCGGCGGGCTATGGAGCCGCTGATCGCCTATATGTGAAACACCCGGTAACGGGTGTGTGCAATGGTCGGGTCTTTTCTGCCCGTGCGTGCCCGCTATGGGGCGCGTGCGAGCAGAAAAAAAAATGCCCGCCAATGCAGCAGTGCCGTCCGTCCGTTTTTTTACTACGGGCGGACAGCAAGAGGTTAAAAGATGTAGTAAACACACATTTACCAGCTCTGCGGGTCTGTCTCCTCCAGGATAAGACGGGTCAGGTGTTCAACAACTAGATCAATATCACCAGCAGACAAGAAGCCTAAAGAAAGAGAACAAGCAGAAGGAAAAAAAGCCAATGAGCAAATATCAACTCTTTTTAAAAGGTCAGTCAATCCGAAACAGATATTTCACTTATCTGGGATGATAGAAGCTGGGAGGTTTAAAGCCTAATTCAACCCTCAGTTTAAACCGGCTTAATACATTTCAGCTGCATACAAATTGTTCCTTAAATGTTTTACAGTTTGTTTTTCTAAAGCAGACACAGCTTAGGGAGAAAAGCCTGCCTCCTGCCAGCAGCTGCAGAGTGGAACCCTTGCTGTGTGTGTGAAAGCAGCGATCTCACTGAGGTCTGAAATACCCCCTATAGCTCTTGCTTCCTGCTGATAGGAGACCTCTGCAAAGGAGATCACTGCTTCCATACAGAGAGCAAGGGTCCTTCTGTTCAGCATGCTGGTAGGAGATAGACTTTTATCCTCAGTCTGTGGATGCTTTCCAAAGAAAAGGAACTGTAAGACTTTGCATACCTTTTGCTTCGATGCATCTAGAATGTACTTGGCTGACTAAAACTGAGGGCTCAATTGGGCTTTAAAGTGTTACTAAACCCAGATATGTTAAAACGCCTACAGTGCTGCAGACCTCGGCACTTACCATCTTTGCTGTGTGGCTTTCCTCTTAAGCCTGTGGTTGCATGGGAGCTCCCGGCTGGGACTGCAGCCGAGTGTCCCTATGCTGCATGCATCCACACATTGAATAGTAAGAGAAGACTACACCAGCAAGCCATCCCCTGCAATTTTACTGAGAAGTATTTGTCTGTCCGCACTGAAGAGATTTTCCATCACTTCCTGTCTTGACAACAAATAAAACGGAAGACTCTCCAATAAGGTCACAGACCTAACAGAGAACACTCTCCTGGACCAATAGAAATAATTGCAGGAGGCAACAGCATTCAATCTGCAATTGCCAGCTCTTCTAAAGTAGACTGCTCCAGATTTGTTGCCATAACCTAGGGATGTCCAGATCCCAGTGCCGATACTTGGCATTTTCATGAGAACTACCAGGGTTGCGGCGGTTGCAGCTGGGGCCTGGCTCTGGCGCTCCACCACTGTCCTGAAATCATTAATCTGTATTGTTTTATAAAAACTGTCGCATGACAATAAACAAAAATGTATCAGTACTTGTATCTGTGAGTACTCGGGCAAGTATCAGTACTTGTACTTGCAAAAATTGTATTGGTGCTTCACATATATATTTTTTTTTTCTAAAAAAAATAATGCATTAAAAACAGAGATGTACATCTCCGTGTGCTCCCTAAAAATGACGGCTGCCTCCTAACTTTTGACTTTTTCTCTAGTCTAGTCTTGGAGCTGGAAAACTATCTGTACTTGTACTAGTACTGAGTATGGTACTTGGTGTCTGAACATCCCTACCATAACCCAATAACGTATTGAGGGTACACAGACTGTTGAGTAGGATGTCAGGAGTGGAGCAGGGGGGGGTTTGCATGCTTTATGAGGATTTATTACACTTAGTGCAACAGAGGGTTAAATGTAACTGACATATGTAAATATTCTTTCTTTCCATGACATGCCAAAAACAAAATGTGCGTAGAACGTTTTGGTAGAGAAGAGGGAAAGGATCTTTATCCTTTAAGCAAGAGACTAAAGTTACATTTACTGTAAAGAGAAGCAAACCTTGATGTGTGGAGAGCACTGTCATAGCCTTCACTGCCACCAGGTGGAGCTGTGCACTGGGATCCGTCACTGCAGAGAACACCATGCTGCATAAGGCTTCTCTAAAGCTCTGCAAACCATTTCCATCTGTTAGAAGAAAAAGAAAAACAACAATAAGAGTTTGCACCAAACAGTGCCTACTGTGTACCTCCTCCACACCGTGTGCCATGTATATAACACATAATAGAGTCTCACTCTTCCCATAGAGCAAATGTTCGGCGTTTTCACCATTGCACTGTCATGACCTTTGTACCAGGTTTACTAATGTACCAAGGTCTGTCCTTTACATTGTTTTAAGTTCATACAGACACAAACTCTGTCAAATGTTTTAGCACCCAGCAACTGCATATCTCAGTCATCCTTGTGTGGATCTTGCACTGGTCCCTAATTAAAATGATTACAAGTGGTATCAATCAACACTAAAGCTGGGTTCACACCTAGGCATATGCGTTTCGCGGTTAAAAAAAACCTGCACGTTTCCGTGGGCTACTTGGCTGTATCCAAATGGAAACGCGCAACAAAAACGCCCCTAAAAAGCTCCTGTACTTCTTTAGGCGTAGGGCGTTTTGTAGCGCGTTCATATGGCCTGTAATACGCCCAGGTGTGAACCATACCCATAGGAAATAAATGGGATTTCGGTGTTTGAGCTTTTTGCAGAGCGTTCGAACGCGCTACAAAACGTTTAGGTGTGAACCAGGCCTAAGAAATCCTTTTTGTGACTAAGGAGACTGCCTTTGCCATACTGATATCAATATGGTGATCGGTAATCAGGACAACGTCACCAGGCATAAAAGTGAGAGTAAAGCCAAAAATTGGAGTGGTCAACAGAACAGGAATTGAGGGGAAATCTTCCAATGGAGACACTTGTTCCCATGACAACTCTATAAGTGGGGATTACCCTCATATTGGAAATATACCCTCTCACTTCCTTTTGAGTCTACTTGACAGGAAGTGAAATCTCCCTAATGAGACACAGATGACATAAAAACTGACAGCTGTTTCGACCCTCCCTTACGCTATCCAAAATGAAAAATATGTTTTGCCTTCAGATATTAATATATTATACAGGATTTATATAGCGCCAACAGTTTGTGCAGCGCTTTACAATATAAGGAAGACATTACAATCACAATTCAAGACAAGATGGTAAGGAGGGCCCTGCCCCTGCGGGCTTACAATCTAAAAGGGAGGGGTCAGTGATACATGAGGTAGATATACCTTATGCACTTCCTAATAGCTTGCTTAAAGTGGACCTTTACCCCCTTTCACTAAAAATCACATCAGCATGGAGCTCTACACACGGATATGGAATCATCTTACATTCATTAATTAAACATACATACTTTTCTTTTATTTACTGTTCTACTTCCTGTTCCTCTTAGGCATTAATGATGTAGCCCATGCATCCTGGGAAGGTTACATAAGCAGAGCATTGCTGGGAAATCTAATCTGTAATCTCATGATATTTTAAAGAAAGGCATTTTCCCCCTAAAATTATGTGCATGGTCACATGTCCTAGTCACTTGTGCCAGAGTTCCAGGAAGTAAAGGGAGATGCCCTTAGTAAAAATGGCCACTGTGACAAGAATAGGGAGGGGGGAAAAATTGAGGTATGCAAAGAATAAAAAGTCGAAAATTATCTAGAAGTGTGTGTAGATTGTCATTACTAAAGATTTCGAAAAGTCTCTTTGTTGTCATTTTAAAGATATGGGTAAAGTTCCTTTTTAAAGCATTCCTATTGTGTGTTTAACATCCACAACCTGCAGCTGAAGGGTGCTTTAAAGGCTTCAAGAAAGTTACTTCAAGCTTGCTAAATGCTTTGCAAATGTTTGCTGTGGGCACTGCCCTCATACAAGCTGTAGCCTCTGTGTAGCTTAGAGAACCAATGTATTTTACTACTGGTGGAGTAAGAACAATTATTAATAACAGGATGCCCATATCTGTAAAAATCCCCTCAACTAAAGAAAAGCTCAGGGGAAGTCTTACACTGAAATAAAGCAAAGGAAGATTTAGCTTTTACAGAGTACTGTAGAGCCAACTAGAAGAATGTGTTACAGCACCAAAAACTTACCTTCCTCAAACAGCCATTTACTCTGCAGCTTGAGGAACCCCAGGGTCATCTCCAATATGGTCCTTCGATGGCTGCTCTACAATCAAACATAAAGCAAATGGAAGGATATATGTTTAGTCATAAATGTCACTGCCAATTAGTGGTCAGTATATTACATGGATTGAATGGGGGAAGGAGAAATGTACTTTCCAAAACAACACTGCAGCCCCATAACAGGCGAACAATAGGCTGAATATAACACGTTGTAACGCATGTGTTATTCGTGGTCTGAATTATGTTCAGTCATGTGATTATTGTCAGCTCTTGTTGCGCGGAAGAATGACAAATATATATTTTTCTTGAATAATATATATTCTGCGGAGCAGGTGCAGATCAGTTGCAGACCGGATCAAAACTGCGTCCAATGTATTCCAATGGTATTTTGGGCTCTAGTTCACATCGCAGCGTGCAGTTCCAGAGCAGGTGAATAAACTGCAGCAGGCCCTATTTTAACAGCTGTGGATCTGCAAACGCATCAAGAACGCATGCAAATGCTTGGAACGCACTGAAAGCCCATGAACTGTGCAATAAATACAATGAAATACACATAGCAGACACATGTTTACTTGATATAAAATATCCATAAAATAAAACTTTTCGAATTATCAAAATACAAATTCTGAAAGCAAAAAATTTCACACAAAAAACACAGGGCAATTGAATGAGCAAACTTCAAAGCTAAACCCTCCTATTTGTAACACACAGCCCTCACCTGAGCATGCTGGTTGTACTGTTCCAGCAGCAGGGGGAGGACACTGGCTGACACTTTCAGACACGCCCTCGAGGAGGCACCGGCTGCAGCCTGTAGCAGTTTAGCACTGGGCCAAACCAGCTTCATGTCCGGCTCGCACAGATGATGCCTACAATCTAGGAAAACAAATAGCTGGCTAGTGATATTTGCCAAATATTCCTTTTTGACTGCTCAGTTCCTGCATCCTGGTTAGTTACCTTGTAAAATGTTGTTCAGAAATCCGTCTAATGAATCCTCAGAGTCGGGACCCAAAACGGAGCGCGACAGACAAGCCGTCAGAGCCTGCAGAGCAGCCAGACCCTCGGTTTCTACTTTCTCACTTGCAGTCTGAAATACCTGATAAGAAAGAGCAAGAATAACATTAGTGGCGTGCGTCATTGCTGGTAACACCACATCACCAGTGTAAGAAAGTACCTCTCTGCGAATGGAAGACCAGAGACCCGGGAGAAACTCATTCAGCTCCTTCTGTCCACAAACTGCACAGGCGGCTTTCTAGAAAACATAATCATTTCATAAAAATAAAGTAGGATATGAAGAAGCAATGTGCAGCTTATTGCCCGGCAGGGTTGTAATGTAATCAGGATGCATTGAAATAACCTTTATTTTTTCCCCCTAAGGTTGGATTCACACGTAGGCGGTACCACTTTTGCGCGTTAACAGCATGCGATTATTTGCGCGCATTTGTAAGCATGTTTTAACGCGCGTACACGAGGACGCGCGTTTTGATTGGCAGCTCATAAACCATTGTGGGCAAAAACGCTTATGAAAATTTACAACATGCTTGTGTTGCGCGTTTCAGGCATTTCCAATTAAGTCTATGGGGAAAAAGTCTATGGCGCCTTTATCTGCCCAAAGACGCTCCTGTATCTTTTCGGGCGTTTGACTTTTTCCTGCTGGCGTTTTTCTGTTCAGGTGTAAAGTAGGGGCCATTGAAAATCATGGGATTTCTTGTGTTGGGCAGTTAAAAGCGCTTTTCAAACTGCTCAAAAACCCCTAGGTGTGAACTAGGGCTAAAAGATGCATTTTCTTGCAGGAACAAACTTCAATCTTACTGCAGAAAACACCCAAATATGAAGGGGCCCTAAATGTACTGAGGTATCTCAGGCACACTCGGTTTCTCACCAAGGTCTCCAGGGAATCCAGTTTGGCACTTTGTATGTCAGAATCCATTTTCTCAATCAGCAGCGGCAACAAGAACTGGTAAAGACAAACACAAATCTATTAGCTGTGGAGCTGTGGCATAAAACAAAACAGCATTAATAAAAGGTCTCCCAGCATGTGCAACCAGCAAGTGCAGATTTACAACAAACTGAGCCTTTCAGTATGCTTAAATATAAAACCGTATGTCAGGGCAAAATGCAGCATTATGCTTTAATCAAAAATGTTTACCCTTCCCACCGTTCCCAAATTGCTTCACACAGACATTAACACCTTTCAAATGTCTAACACCTTGAATTGTTTCATGTAGATGAACTTACACAGAAACCTCTCTGCAATGCATGCACATATCCCCATGTGTTATTCCTTTAACCCCTTCGTGACTGACGACGTACAGTGTACGTCGCCAGCATCGGGGCTATGTTCAAGTACAGAAAAACACCAGCTGATCACACAGAAATGCACTGAGCTCCTAGGTCCTATTGTGGGCTGACAACACACAGCCTTTTTGTTGACTGAGTGGTGTCAGCCCTAACTACTGTATTTTTCTAAACTACTTAAACCATCTCACTCGCCTCATCTGTACAACATTGACACTAATCATTCTGTAGTACAAGAGAAGAACTAGAAGTGATAATTAGACTCCTTGAGATAACGCAGCAAGAGGACAGCTCAGTTTCTGGCAAGATCAGCAGGTATTTTTTGCCCTTATTGATATAACAAAATACATTCTTCAATTGTATATTTAACAGACCAGAAGGCAACAAATGAGATGTTCATTGTTGGTGTTTACAGACTCTCTAGGATTTACCTCAGCAAAACGAGGTGTGGCTGCTAAGACTGCACGAAGACCCAATATTAGGTCTTCTCTGGTGATGCCATGTGGGTCATTGGAAGGCTGGAAAACAACCAAACATACATAATGACATTACAAACAGATATGGAGAAAAGTGTTATTATTCATATAGTGCCATCTACTCCCCTGGTACTGCATATACCGTAATAAAGGAGGGCAGTACAGGTAATACAATACATAATGCTTCAAAGAACAGTACAGCAACAGGCAGCAATATCCAGAAACAAAATTAATAGAAGACACACAGGAAATCAAACTTACCGGATTAAAGTCTATGGGAAAATAGCAGGACACCACTTCAAATAACTCCTCCACAAATGGACCTGTACAAAAGAATAGTTTTCACCTCAGGTACAATAAGAAGAAAAATGAGCATGTCATGGACTTAGGTTTCAGTCTATCGCTTCATTATTTTTTTATACAGTACAAAAGAAAAAAAAAAAACAGCATAAAGTTACTGAAAAACACAAACCAAAAGGAAAAGTCAAATGCAGTAGGAGATCCCAAATTCTCTAAATTAAAAGTAAAGACCACCTTTAAAAAAAATAAAAATAAATGCACTTCATAAAAGAACAAACGTGCATTAATTAGTTTTTTTTGCCAGTAAAGCATTGCAACCCTGATCAATGGATCGTAGGTGCAACGCTCTGTTTCCTGCAAACTCTTCCTCCCGTCAATGTATGTGTCGAGGTACAAACAAACATTCAGTAACATGGACAAGAGGAAGAATGAATGGATTACAAGTGCGGTGACATAACCATTAAGGCACTTGCATGCCATTAAAAATGACAAATCCCTATACTGCAGTGGATTACACAACAAATACATGTTTAAGGACTAATAAGAAGTAGATATATGAATATAATGTATACACTAATGTGGGTACCAGAAGGAGGTAATTTGGTTTTAATGTGCCATTGTATCATGCTGGTGACATTCTGAATGTAACCTGAAAGTTTCAAAATCATGTTGATTTTAATGAAATAAAAAGTATATATTTTTTTTATACGAGATTACGAGTGTCTGATGGACACTTTGTATGGTTTGAACACTTTAAAAGCCCCATGTTTCTTCTTTGTTCTTAAATATTTCAAATTAGGGGTGTGGTGTCTATGCCTGCTGGTTCAATTTGTAAGAATTTAATTAATGATGGGACCTGAAGTTTCTCCATTCATAGATCTTGTGAAAGGATGATGCGGCTGTGTGGGTGAAACCATGCACCGCTGCGCCAAATCCAAAATCCACCACACCAGCCTGCTAGAAGATGAGCCCCACGATTCAGGTAAGTGAAGGGGGTAGGTTGATGTTAGAGCTGCAGCTAACGATTATTTTCAAAATCGATTAGTTAGCCGATTATTAAGTTCGATTAATCGGTTAATCGGATAAACAATACAAAAAAACTCCAATCTATATATGCAACTATGCGTCTCTCCTCATGACTGAAAAGCCCCAGCCACTTTAGGCTCTGACTTCATATACAGCTTAATGTCATTCACTAACACTGGAATGTCAAAAACACTGATTGGCTGATCTAATTACCCCGTTGAGGTTAGTAAAGGTGCCCATACACTGCACGATTCTCGTACGAGAATCGCTGGAAATCCCGCGATCGTACGAGAATCGTGCAGTGTATGGAAGGCGTGCAAACGTTCCTAATGTACGGTCGCACGACTTTTGCATTTCGAGCATGTTGGAAAACCAGCCGAGAATTGTACGATTTTCGGCTGGTTTTTAACATGATCGAGAGATAACAGCCGACCGGGCCGGTGTGCGCACGCGCATATGGCCTGTTCAGCATTGCAGTCATCGGAAGCCAGCCCCTCAGGGGGGAGGGCTTGCGATGATCGCAAGTACGATCTGCCTGTCCAAGATGGGCAGATCGTACGTTTTTTTAAGTACTTTACAACCCTCGCAAGACAAAAGTCTTGCGAGGGTTGTAAAGTGTATGGGCACCTTTAGACGGGTTTTGAGAAAATTCCCTACAGCTGTACACAAAAACCTAGTTAGCATAGGTGAGTTGGATAACATCAGCCCAAAGAATTCCCTTTAATACATATGCATACACCCTAAATATCTCCCTAATATATCTATTTCAATCCTAATTTACAACAACATGCCATGGAAACGCTGCCACGGAAAGGCTTTTGTGGTTCAGACCAAACATTCATGAGGAAAAGTGCTTTTACTGCCCTGCAACTAATTCAGCAACGATAGTCCTGTAAAACTTATTTGGACTGCCGAATTTTGCTGAATTTTAACTAGGCTCAGCTAGCCTGGCACTTTACTCAGGAAGAAAGCTTACGTTGAATTTTGTTTGGTCTGTGTACCTTAGCAAAGCATATCTGACAAATCTTGGTCATAACAGGCTGCGCTCAACACCAGAGAAATGATTAATACGTATTAGAAGATAAAGCAGTCAGCAGTTTTTGTTATAATCTGAGAATAATGCCTGTAAAGCATGTTATAGTGACTGGTTTTATAACACTTGGCTAACCACAGTGATTAGCACAGAGACTGGCTGATGTAAGGGTACAAAAAAAAAAATTCACAGAATGATTAAAAGTTCAGGGGGGAGACATGAACCAAGACCAAACAAGCAAATGAAGACGTGATGAAAAGAGAATTTACATCCTGGCCCAAGCTAATTTTCTCTTGGGCTGTATTGTTTCCGAGTGCCGTGCAACACTCAGTGTCTTTAGATTCACAGTAATACCTCGGTTCACTAATGCTTCTGTTCGCGAACAATTCGGTTCGCGAACAGGAAGTTTGGCAAAATGTTGATTCTGTTGGCGAACTCCACATCAGGTGACGACCGCGGACAACTTCCCCACTCTGAAACGTGGTCGTGGCTTCCTCTAGTCAAGTGTTGTGTGGATGTCACCAGCACTCCAAGTATGATAGAATACGTCAAGATTTTTAGTGAATCTTCATTTTATTTTTGAAGTCACTTAAAGTGGAAACTTTAGCCACTTTAAGTGACTTCAAAAATAAAATGAAGATTCACTAAAAATCTTGACGTATTCTGTCATACTTGGAGTGCTGGTGACATCCACTCAACATTTTATCTGATACGGCGCCATCCGTAGTCATTACGAGCACCCATTTTTCCACATGGGAAGTCCGGTAAGGTGTGCTACAGGTCCTTGGACATTATTCCTCTAGTCAAGATCGCGGTCGCAGACAGACCTGTGCACACTTGCTATGAAGCTTTTTTGTGTTCTTTTTAGCACATACAGTACTTTACAGTATTATTCAATACAGCATGGCTCCAAAGAAAGTGCAGAACGGTAATTAAAAAAAAAATTACATATGGTTCAGAACGGATTAACCTTATTTACATTGAACCTTATGGGGAAATTTGATGCGGCGGAGTCGATTTCAAGTTTCCTAGCTACTACTTCTAATTTTTCCTTTCCTTTCTCACTCTTTTACTAACGTCATGACTTATTTCCTTTGTCTTTCTGTCTAAATAAGGTTTGGACTATGAGTCATGCTCTGCAAACTTTCTTGTATTTGACTTGTACTCTTGTGTTTAATACTGGCTATGTACAATGACATTGTATGCACAAGCGTTGTCTATAAATGGCCTTCCTATACTTCTGAATGTAGTATGTAAAGCTGAAGTTTTCTCACTTGGATCGTTTACATATGCCTTTGAGTAATATGACCTCATTAACACTACGGACTTGCTACATTTGGTTTACTACGAATACTGTACCGATGGCTATGTCCTCTGTATTCTTTGGATTTGGTGTATTTCTCTTTTGTTTATAAATAAAATAAAAATTGTTAAATCAAAAAAAGAAGAACTACTGGACGCAGGCATGGAAGACTTGACTTGTTAAGAAGAGGTTAAGTGCCATCTATTCTAGTACTGAGTTCCTACTCCTGGCATTCATTTATCAAAAGCCAGCAGCAGGCAGCAAAGGCCTGTAATGTGACAGTTTTATGACACAGAACAGGACTTAGTACTAGAAGGTAGTGCTATTTACCTTGATCTGGGCAGAAGTTGCAGCCCCATATACTGCCTGGGCCTAGGAACCAAGAGGGATCAATTTTAAGACTGTAGCTACTGCAAGCACCACAAGCTGCTTGTACTTCAGTGCTGCTGATATTTGTATTTACACTGACTGCATTGTTCAATTGATAAAACAATTTTTTATGAGTGTAACCTTCCAGTGTTCAAGATTTTAACAGTGTTAAAAATCTTACCAAGAGCATAGTTCTTGGTTATAATGTCGTGTACAATTCGGAAGGCCACAAGCAGATTACGCGGATCCTTTTCCCCATCCATGACTTGAATAAACCCGAAAGTGAAATCCGCCCCGAGGCTCTTCAGTTCTACAGTCAAATAAGAAAAGAGATTTATTTTATTTCCTATATTGATATAGCAATAGATTACACAACTCCATACAGAGTGAAATACAACCAGTCACATTGATTCTTGCCATAGAAAAAGCTAAAAATCTAAATACTCCCCCCCAGACTCATTTGTTCAGGAGACAATTAACCTACCAGTATGATATTGATATATATATCACAGTACAAGCAGATGGTGTCCTGGTGAGACTGGAATTAACTGTCCTACCCTAGTTTGTGAGACGTTGTAACCTCAGCCTACAGCTGGATTTAGATTGTATCACACTATATCTAGACTGTCAATTGTGCCTAAGCAGTACCCTGGAAAACCTTGTTTCTTGAATTTCAGATGAAAAACACCAGTACACTGTCTAAGCCTAGACGCGCCTGTGCCTTGAGCAGATATAACTGCTGTTCATCGCCTGTTGGAGATCACATAAGGCACTCCTGCCTCTGACTTCTGATCTCACTAGATTGGGTGATGTCGCTACTGTGCTGGTCACTGTTGCCCTTGCTGGAGAGGAATCTGGATCCTTAGAGCTGCAGTGCAAGGACCTTCCTGCTTCAACTTAATTCTCCAGATCTGTGCGTCCTAAACCTCTCCTGTTGCTTCTTGATCATTAGCCAGCAGTCGTTAAGTGTGGGCAGCCCTGCCAGGGGGTAGTAAAGCTCTGCCTCTACCAAGATGTCCTGCTTCACACAGAGACACAGTGCAGAAAAAGGCCTAGTAGGTCTTTATTGTAGAAAATATCAGCTGCAGGGGGCCTACAGGTAATAATGGTAACTAGTCCTTTGTCCTCTGCTTGCCTTTTTTCGCCACAGCTGTCACACAGTACAGGTCATTTTCAATATTTTTCACACGTAAAACCTATGAGCCATATTAGATAAAAGGAAAGTGCTGATGCTTGTTATTTGTTTAGATAGCAAACATCGCCCACAATGCTATAACAAAGAACACAGCACTCTCAGAGGTTTCAGCCCCCAGGGTAGCTTATAATCGAATGTCTTTACCAGAGTTACACAAACACATATACTCTGGGGCCAATCCTGAGAAGAGTCAACAATGAAATTAACCAATCAGTGATCTGTTTACAGCAAGCAGAAACATTTAGACGTATGATACACATTATCCGAATCTTTAGTGTGTAAGCTGTTCATACCTTCTTCTCTGCTCTTCATAAAATTGGTGATGATTAAATAGACGGTATGGCGATCCAACTGCATTAGAGACTGCAAGGAAATACATATGTTGGAGTTTAGTATAACATCAGAAAAGGTGAGTGTTAAAAATAAAACCAAGGGTTTTTTTCCTATATTATGTTCAGTGCTAGAAATAATAATTTTGTTATTATTTCATCATTGAAAGGTAAATCTACAAAATGCACATGAATATTATTTAACATTTGAAGCCAGAAGGTGGAGCTCGGTGCAAGGACAGGAGGGGATCCCCGATCTTTGATAAAATGATGCTTTGCTAAAACCAGGCTTGGATTATCAGAGGCTCCTAGCAGAGATGGGGAAAGGTTTCATTAGTCATAGGAACTGACAAAACCATGAAGCTTTCTTACAATGCAGGATTGATGCATTCTGCAATAAAGTTTTGTAAAATAAAAAAAAATTGTATATAAAAAAAAAAAAAAAACACAGAAAGTTTAGAAAGTTTGATTTAAAAAAAATGAAAAAAAAAAAAAAAAAACACAGAAAGATTAGAAAGTTTCATTTAAAAAAAATGCAATAAAACTGACCCACAGCAATGGTCAAAAATCATTCTCACAATCAAGGAAAACTTCAAGATCCTAACACGCTGGCATAGGCGCCCTTCCACTATAAAGAAAATGTTTCCCCCTGCCTCAGACTGATGCTGGTGCTGTGGAAAAGAAAGAGAGACCATGCTTTACATTTGGTGGTCATGCCCCTCTATACTAGCCTTCACTATATTTGAACAGGCCATAGGCTGGGCCTCAAAGTTTTAAAAGGCATTAGAAATTAAACTTCACTCAGTGATCCCAGGCCCTACCTCTACCACTACCGTGTTTCCCCGAAAGTAAGACATCCCCCGAAAATAAGACCTAGCGCTATCTTCGGGGATGTCTGTAATATAAGACCTACCCCGAACTAGGTCTTATTTTCGGGGTAGGTCTTATATTACAGACATCCCCGAAGATAGCGCTAGGTCTTATTTTCGGGGTAGGTCTTATATTACAGACATCCCCGAAGATAGCGCTAGGTCTTATTTTCGGGGTAGGTCTTATATTACAGACATCCCCGAAGATAGCGCTAGGTCTTATTTTCGGGGTAGGTCTTATATTACAGACATCCCCGAAGATAGCGCTAGGTCTTATTTTCGGGGTAGGTCTTATATTACAGACATCCCCGAAGATAGCGCTAGGTCTTATTTTCGGGGAAACACGGTATAAAGGCCTACTACACTTTATCTTTTCCTTTTTTGCCAGAACCGTGATCCCAAGCAACTGGAAGTCCAATCTCCCCCCTCCATCAAAGAATAGATCAGCGAAATTACCAATTACTAAAACATGGAGGAACCGACAGCCTTGCTACATGACAGATTCAAACTTTCTCCTGTCAGTGTCAATTGACCGGGAATATGTGTTGCCGTGCACACCCCATGTCCCCCCCACTGACATGCTTCCCATTCACAGCCACCAGGACCTTCCTCTCCTTCTGCTCTTGCATCCTCCATTCCTACTATGTTGCTTCTTTGCTCTGGGTCTTTTTTCCTCTTTCCTCTTCTAGTATATGGGACAACAGGTATGCCACAATTTCATACCACAACTGCCCATAATACCATAACCTTGTTCATGATTTTACCACATCAAGTGACGAACAGAGCCCGGCCATTATGAAATATTTCACTTCATAATTGTTGTTGGCTTGAAGAACTACAACATGTCCCATTGCACAACCTCTTGTATCTGGTCTGTTAAAAATGCTCGATAAACATTTATTGAAAAATAAAAATGTTTCCCATTCTGTAACTGTATGACTCTGACCATTCCTAAAAAGAAAAATGATCCGTCGGATCTTGATCAGGCCAGCTGCAGAATTTTAGGAAATAATGATAAATGTGGATATTGGTACAAACTATATGGCATTTGCACAATGAAATCACTGTGCACATTGGGTGACAGAGCGCACTTCTCAGACTTATTCTTAAATAAACACTTTTTTAAAAAAAGCTAAACAAGCCCCCTGCAGAAAGCTTAGATAAAACTAGAAGAATTTAGACAATTTTACCTGAACATGAACCTCCTGGAATATTGACTTCAGTACAGACACTGCCAGACCCAGGGGGAAAACCTCAGACATACTCTGCGACAAAATACAAATCATCAAAATTATCATCAGAGAATAAAATATGTTTCTTGTAGAATTCACTGGAAAACAAAAGAACTGCAACCTAAGGAAGCCTGGTGCCCACCCCTTGAGAACGCATGGGATAAGTGGCCTCTGTCTCATTGAAGTCCAAGAGAAGGACAAATGCTTTCAACTAGGGATATTCATCATGCAGGTACAGCTTTATACAGTATATCAGCCCGATGTATGCAATGCAACCATGACCATCGCTGATCCCTATGCTTAATTCAAATAAAAGTACGCATTTAGAGACCAGCTATGTTTGGCCTCGACTATACAGAAGCATTTTAGAGGCTTACGAATACTAAGCCTAAAACTGAGGTTTATATAAAGTGAATATTTAAAAATGGAGACTGTGGGCAAATCAGTTTGGTCGGATGAGTGGTCTGGTCAATAATAATCCTTAAAGTGAATCAGTCACTTTAACGATAAAAAAAGTTGGCGACATGTATAAAAGCAGGAGCGAAAAATCACAGCAGCAGCTTTTAAACCCCTTGTTCTGCCCGAACGTTGGAACAGTTTGAACGAACAAAGCTACAATACTTCCGTATAGAGCTAAAGCTTGTCAGCTACCTCTACCCTTCCTGTGCATTGCTATTGGTCATCACTATAAATAGATGCCCCACTGACCAATAGGAAAGTGTGGGAGATGGTGGGGGGTGGGCAGGCTTTGACATTATCAAAAGGTAAAGAAGTTTTGCCAGATCAGTATAGCCTGATATTTGGGTGGAGAAAAAAGACTAAAAGCTGCAGCAGGTATATGCTGGTACCTTTAGGTTCCTGCACCTTGTTCCCCGTTAGCAGCTTTATTTTATTGGTATTTTAACAGTGTCACTTTAAATGTTAGGCATCTAGAAGGGAAATTAATCTCAGATATCTGGTACCAGGCTGTTCCGAACATCTGTTTATTACAGACAATGCAGATCTAGCCAACACCACGTACCCTCCCCAAATACAACATACTTTTATTGGGCCTAGTCCACACAGGCTTCAGTCTTATAAGCAATGTGTACAGGAGGCATCAATAATGCTTTTGAGCTAGCTTCAAGCACCTTTCTTGAAGCTTTTAAAGCCCCCTCCAATTTGGGAGTGTTGAATACAGCTCTAGCTGGGAGCGTCGGCTCTGGCTTTACACAAGCTTTTAGCACTCTCAAAGCTGAATTCCGGGGTACGCACCTATTATCTACATACAAATAGCATGGTATTGTTACTTGAATATTGGAGTGTTTTGTTAACTTATTTTAGATCTGTGCACTATTCCAGTGCCTCTATGTAGAAGCTTCCTCTATTGGGACCAGTCAGTGCTGCTCTCCTGCCTTGTGCAGGGTGACTGGTCTTGTATCCGCTCCCTCCTGTAATAAAGACTGGTCACTGCTGCTCTCTCTCTCCTTGTGCAGGGTGACTGGTCTTGTATCCACCCCCTCCTGTAATAAAGACTGGTCACTGCTGCTTTCTCTCCTGGTGCAGGGTGATTGGTCTTGTATCCACCCCCTCCTGTAGTTATTCTGCAGGCAGCCTGTACTGTGGTGGACTTGTTGGGTCCCTTCCACAGCTCTGCACAGGCTATATGCACAACTAACTGCATCTAACCTGCTAATAGTGGTTTCAGTACATTTTATCCAAACTGGTGTGCTTCTTTATCTTACATAATAAATATATTAATTATATTAAACAAAGAAGCCAGCCACACTCCAAGGACAGCAGCCTTGATAAAACTTTATTGTTCATGACAAGACCACAAGTCACGTTTCACCCAGAAAGGGCTTAATTGCAGAGATTACGCCCTTTCTGGATGAAGTGCAGAAGACTGAGGATGGAGTCGGCGAACATCTTGTGATCTTGTCTGGAACAATAAAGCTTTGTCAAGGCTGATGTCATTGGACTGCTTCAGGTATCTTTGTTTACTGCACGTGGGAAGTGGTGACACTGGCTGGCACATGTAGCCGCAAAGACCAGTGGACGGCGGGTTTATGAGCAGCGGCTTCCCTTGATATTTGTTCATAAAATATATTACTCTCGGTGGCTGAGAGAAGCTTACCAATGCCTTGAGCCCTTGCAGGACATGCGGGGTGATGACATGATGATCCTTCAGTCTGTTTTCATAGAACACAACAAGCACTTCCACTGGACAGAAACACAAAACACTGAAAGTTAGTTTCAACTCCATCAGAAAAATAAAAACGTAATCTTAGTAATTGAAGGGTAGGGTGCATTGCTTGTTGAAGAGGTGCGGCCTTTGTGAGCTATTATGTAATCTTGCCCTTGTTCTTTACAGCAAAACTATACAGTGTTGAAAGCAGCACACGTGTATATATAAACAGCATTGTAGACACATCGCAACATTTAAATAAACTAGTGTATTAAATAGGGATGCACCGATATATCGGCCACCGAAACATATCGGCCGAAAATGGCACTTTTGGCATAATGCCAAAAGTGCCATGTTTCGGACGATACATCGGCACATCCCTGCTTTCTCTCCTCCCCGTGTGTGTCCCAGCGGGGAAGAGAGAAAGTGTCACAGACGGCCGAGGGCTGCGGTCGGAGAACGCCGTTAACGTCCGGTGTCTCTCCTCCCACACTGCTCGGCCGTCTATCACAGTCCGGCAGAGCGGTGTGTGGGCAGAGACAGGTCGCACTGTCACAGGAGCCGGAGCTCTACTCCCTGCTCTGCTCGCTCAGCCTCCTGTGACAGCGTGACAGAGAGGAGAGCAGGCTACATACACTCAGCGATCAGTGATCGCTGAGTGTTTGTAGATAATTGAGGATATGGTATGTGGACTATATCCTCAATTATGAATGAATGGGCGTAATCTACATCCCCTCCTGTTCATTCACGATTGTGGTTATAGTAAACATACCATGTCCTCATGTTATCAATAAACAGGAACACTCAAAGGGTTTCTGTTCATTGATAACTGAGGCTGCAGAAAAAGAGATTGAGGACTTTGTGTCATAAATCTCTTTTTATATTTTAGCAGGGAAATATCAGGGGTCTGTTTAGAACCCCAATACTTCCCCCGAAACCCCTAAAAGTAAAAATAAAAATATTTAATAAAAAATAAATAAAATAAAAATATATTTTAAAAATTTTACAAAATTAAAATAAAAAAACATATTTCTGTATTGGTTTCAGTTTCGGCCTGACGGTTTTTTTTATTTGGGTTTTAAAATTTCCATTTCGGTGCACCTCTAGTATTAAATATAAATATCTCAGACTGTTTTGTGATATCACATAGGAGAAGAAGACATGGCTACATTTCTCGGGGCTGAACCAGAGAAATTAATTGATTCCCCAATCCATGCTAAACAGTGTGTATGGACTTATCTCCACCTGGCAGCTATTGTACTCAGACAGCCAGCACCTGTGGATGTCTTCATACCCTATCAGTGACTGCAAATGATTGGATGCAGTCACTGTTCAACGGCCAGTTTTTCCACCTGGCTCCTTTGAAATTTTCTCTCAAAGTTTGTTGAGCTGGGTGGTGTCAACAGTGCTACATCAGTCAATGCATTTACTGCCCCCTATGCAGAGAGCTCAGTGTCCTATGTACTGTGTTATTGTCACATCCCCATGGTCTCATGAGACACTTGCTAGTTTGTGCCCTACCAGGAAATGAGAGGTAACAATAAATAGGTAATTTATGCAGCTATAAACTAATTACCACAAAAGATGCATTTATTTAAAAACTCAACTAGTACAAGTATTTCAATGTGGCTTTCTACCAGCATGTTGCAGCATGTTGTACAACAGCATTCAAACTGTGAGAGGGAGGGGCAGAAATTGGAGCCAATCAGGTGTGCTGTATGAAACTTTTCTGACAAGTAACACGCTGATAGGAGAGATCAAAGATAGCAGACGGAAGACCTCATTAGTCTGTTGCTGGTTATTCACTGTCCAGTCAGCAGGCTGGAGGACAATGCATACCACTTTACTCCTACACACAGAAAGTGGTGTCATCTATCTGGCTCTGCTGTGTGGCAGGCCTGTGCAAGTCTCTGGAATGAATGGACAGAAATAAAAATCTAATGTCAGCTAAAACAGTTCCCTTATTTGTATCTCATACGTGTGCTGGAGTTCAACTTGATGAATAAAATCAGAGCAGTGTCAGTCTATGATCTGGTTCTGGAAAGGGTACAGTCCAGTAAAACTGTACCCTTTTGGTGGGGATAGATCACCACACTAGTCACCTGGAGATAAAATGGCAGAATGTGTTTCAGCTTCCCAGAACCTTTTAATATTATTTTGGTTTAAAGTAGGGATGCACCGATACCGATACTAGTGCCGATGCCGAGTATTTGGGCGAGTATTCGCCCAAATGCTCCGATGCCTAGCCCGATACATCCGGTATCAGGAAGTTGATGCAGCGCCCAGCTTTCTGATTGGTTGGGAAGCCGGCTTTATGCCCCCTTGTCACCTCATGACGAGGGAGCATGGAGCTGGCCAATCAGGAAACCGGGCACCGCGACATTACACAGCGCCCGGCTTCCTGATTGGCCAAATTGACGTCTCCGTGCTTCCTCGTCACCTAGTGGCTGCTGGATGCAGGATGGACTACAATCTCGTTTAGTTTACTAATTTGTATAGAGATTGTAGTCCATCACAGGAGTGAGCTTGGAGCAGTGACTACTTTACAACACACACAGGGACCATGGGGAACAGAAGTAGCCCCCCTCCAGAAGGACGGACAGTGTCAGCACCAATTCAGAGATGATTTGAGGATCTACAGCCGAGTGATTCACAAATAAGATACATTTTTGTTCATAGTTAAGGAACTTGAATGTATTTTTAAGATTTAACTCCGGAGTTTAGAGTCACTTTAAGTTGATCTTGAAGAACGATATCCACATTCAATATGAAACCATGATGGTTGAGAATCCATCCCCAATACGAGTTGACTGGTCATACTAGGAGTCATTAAAAGATTAGGTAGTTTTATGCTACAATGACGCCATGCATGCATCCAGCAAGAGTCTGTGTGAAAAATCTTTCCGTGACTCAGCTACAGATCTCATCATTTGATGTTGCAGATCATGTAACAAGCAGCAAATGCAGTGTTTCATCTCTTTCATATTCAGCTGCTATTTGAACTGCGCATTACATTAGCAGAGATTGCTGAGTGCTCTGCATGTTATTGTACTGATGTCAGTGTGCGATCAGCCACATTTCTACCAGCAGGCTCTGCAGAGTGACTGCAAACAGCTGGAAGCTCCCATTAACAGACGATTACAAGAAAACCTAACATCTTTTAAATCAATCCTAACATCTGTTCCGACACAATGAAAAACGCTCGGCAAATTAAAGTGCATGAAACAGTCGCGGCAGAAGCCTGGAATGTGCGAGATGCGAAGGCGTGCTGTGAGGAGTTAATAAGACCTTTTATTCCTACCTTCTTTCTCTGTCAGTCTGGAGTAACACTGGAGCAGGACTTGTGACAAAAGCTGCACGCCTCTCCCTCGGCTTCTGGGCTCAGGGTTTGCCAAACATGACCTGGAGAAGGAATGAACAGCGGAAACATAAAAAAAAATCTGCACTTTCTCACAAATTCAGTGTACATCTTATCATATATCATCACATCATATACAATATATTGCCAAAAGTATTGGGACACCCCTCCAAATCATTGGATTCAGGTGTAGGATGTGGTAGGCCATGTAAAATGACAGAGCGGGGTCAGCGGATGCTGAAGCGCACAGTGTGCAGAAGTCGCCAACTGTCTGCAGAGTCAATAATAACTACAGACCTCCAAACTTCGTGTGGCCTTCAGATTGGCACAACAACAGTGCATAGAGAGCTTCATGGAATGGGTTTCCGTGGCCGAGCAGCTGCATCCAAGCCTTACATCACCAAATGCAATGCAAAGCGTGGGATGTCGTGGTATAACGCACACCGCCACTGGACTCTAGAGAAGTGTTCTCTGGAGTGACCAATCACGCTTCTCTGTCTGGCAATCCGATGGACGTGTCTGGGTTTGGCGGTTGTCAGGAGAACGGTACTCGCCTGACTGCATTGTGCCAAGTGTAAAGTTTGGTGGACGGGGGATTGTGGTGTGGGGTTGTTTTTCAGGGGTGGGGCTTGGCCCCCCTAGTTTCAGTGAAGGGAACTCTTAAGGCATCAGCATACCAAGACATTTTGGACAATTTCATGCTCCCAACTTTGTGGGAACAGTTTGGGGATGGCCCCTTCCTGTTCCAACATGACTGCGCACCAGTGCACAAAGCAAGGTCCATAAAGACATGGATGGGGGAGTTTGGGGTGGAAGAACTTGACTGGCCTGCACAGAGTCCTGACCTCAACCCGATAGAACACCTTCGGGATGAGACAGCAAGTCCGGCCTTCTCGTCCAACATCAGTACCTGACCTCACAAATGGTCAAACATTCCCATAGACACCTTCCCAGAAGAGTTGAAGCTGTTATAGCGGCAAAGGGCGGAACCAACTCAATACTGAACCCTACGGACTGGGATGCCATTAAAGTTAATGTGCGTGTAAAGGCCGGTGTCCCAATACTTTTGGCAATACAGTGTATGTTCATAAAAAGGAGGCCACTGAAGCCTCCTCCCAAAGAAAATTATATTGGGTGGCAGAGAGGACGACAACTGCATAGCCTATTTCAGGAGGGGTACGAGGAAAGCTATATGGTGAAGCAATGGAGCTACAGGAGATTCAATACCTTTGTGGACCCAGAGACCAAGTATGGAGCAAGTGAAAGCAAGATAGAAGTCAGAATTTTTGCATACCATGCTAAGGTTTTAGAGATGTCTCCGGAAGGGTAAGTCTTTCAATCGGGACACCCAAATTTGACGACAGCTCTCTAACGCTTACTATACACATTACCATCTGACCATACTAGCAACTTTACATTTACCAAACATGCAACATGAGGACATATCTAAACTTTACGATCCCATTTGTATATAAATTGTGACTTCCTGAGGGAGACAGAAACAGGCCAGGAACATGTGCCAAGATGGAACGCATGTAGGGGAAGCAATCATAAGCACCGAGCAAGAGCCCACAAGGCATCTTTTCCATGGGGCCTGCCATTGGTTTTAGGTGAGACGGTACATTATACAGATTAGAAATAACAGCTTATCTTACCCAAGAGATTCCACCACTTGTAACACTGTGAATGCTCCATCTTTTACACCTGCAAGTAACACAGACGGCAAAATGAGACAAACTATATAATGTACAAGAAAAAAAAAAAGGAATCAGTCAACGTAATGCAGCTTTAAAAAGGAGTCAGTAACAGAAGAACTTATTTCTATCCTCTCTGAGCCTGATGAAGGGGACCCTGCGTGGCCCCAAAAGTGCTTGCATATGAGGGACAGCATTCTTCAATAAATGAACACTTAATTGCTGCAACTATTGTTTTGGTGTGCTGGTGACGTTCTTCCAACATCTGTATGTGGCGGCGCGGCCATCCGCAGTCATTTCGTGCAACCCGCTGGTTTGTCCACATGGGAATCCCGCTGAGGTGTGCAGCAAGGATTTCATATTTCTATCCTGACTCATCCACTTCACATTTTCTTACCCAGCCACATGAATGATGAGACATTTGGACATTCTACCCTTTCTACCAGGACAGCATGGTGAAGGGCAGCCCAAAAAGGAGCGAACAGAAGGAAGCACCAAGTTCTCCCCCCCCCGCTAACCTCCAGGTGGAAGAGGAAATGGCCGTCAGTGTATCTGAAGCCAAACTATTTTCCGCTTTGGATAGAGTTGGGAAGGGTTAGAACCCCGTCAGTTCTTTCGGCGTTGTGTACCATGGTAGAGATTTCTCTAAACATCCTGGTTCCAGAACACAACAGGAAGTGTTGGAAATCCCCTCTTAGTTGTCAATGGAACAAGTTCCCCTGGAGTGATTTCCCCTCACTTCCTGTTTTAGTGACAGCCATAATATTTTGGATTTCTGATCATTCTGTCCCGGAGAGAACAGACACCAGGATAAACACAGGGAGTGACTCTTCCCAGAGAGGACACAGAAACAAAAGTAGGGACTGTGTGTGAAGGAAGAAAAAAACACCAAAAGCAGAACATACAAAGACCAGATTCAATTATATTCGGACTCTCATGCCATAACAATCCAATGCATTTTAGGGGTTCAAAGAGTCGCCCCTATATTAAGGCTTGTTACTGGTGAACACAGCATGTACTGGAATGATGAAATCAGAGGGATCCTTAGGGGTAATTAATCTGATGGTCGCACCAAATGCCGAAACGCGTTGGCTTTTTATGACATGAGAGGCTATATCAGAAATCATGTCATAAAAAGCCAACCTTCATGATATGCTCCGATTGGCTGCAGTCACTGTCAAGCCAACCTTTTTCAGCCTAGCTACTTTGATCCAGTCAAACCGTGTGAGGCGTGGTGGTGTCAGCAGGTTCGCCCACACATCGAATTTTGGCCTAAACACAGGAATGGAGCCGAAATCTGAACCATGTGGGGACAGCTGTAGTCCACGAACCCATTGCACTTCTAACCGCTTAGTCCAAAAACAACTGGTGGGTGCTGCGGTGACCAACAGATGGTGCCATGACATTCACATAGTAAATATGGGGCACCGGCACTCCAAATAGTCAATAGTGCTTCTTTTATTGGCAACATAACACATAAATGCAACGTTTCGGGGTCACGCAGGATCTCCTTCTTCAGGGCCCATTCACACCACATCTAGATTACCTCCAGACCAGTCTGGACCCAAAATGCATCCCAATGTATCCTATGCTATTTCTGGCCTCTGTTCACACCAGCGCAGTCCGTTCCTCACTAGAACAGAAATGGAATGCACTGGAATGCATCAAAAATGCATGGAACGCACCTGTAAGACCATTTTAAGCTAATAATTAAAAAAAAATGTTTAATCGCTGCAAATTCAGGGCAAAAACGCAATGCACTATGTTCCAGATCTGGTCCGGAAAATGTGTGATCCCAGCCTGAAGCAACACATGCGATTGTCAGAATAGTCTCAACAGGTCACACACACAGATGAATTCAATATCTCTTCGATATGTTTATTGAAGAATGTCACGACATGTCATTAGAAGCTTAAGCTAGCGTTTTCGGGACCTCGCAGGGACCCCTCATCAGAGCGACACACGGTCCTTGCGGTTGCAGACCGTAAAGAGTACAGGTGGCTCTTGGAAAACTGATGCGATTGTCAGGGGATCCTGTGTGACTCGAAACGTTGCATTTACGTCAATAAAAGACACACTATTGACTATTTGGAGTGACGGTGCCCCTTCTTTACTCTATGTACGGCCAAGCTGTCCCATCTCTGCTGAGGAGGAGAGCTGTCCCTCCTCTGAATCATTAAGTCATGTGCATAGTCTGACCTCTTGCTCTGTTACAGCAGATCCCTTTTTGCTCATAGTACATCACCGTGCTGTAAGTGGTTGTTGTGAAAAGTCATAAATGAAATGTAAAGATTTCCCTTTTTAGTGCTGCATATAATAAAGAAACAATATAAAAAAAACACCACTAAAAGAGACTAAACAAAGCCAGTTTTGCTCACTCCTTGCCGCAGTTTGCCTTGGCTGTATCAAACATGGGATTGCCAAAGAGTAGTCGGTGCCGTACACAATCCCTGCCAATATTTAAATGACCTTTGTTGCCTCCCTGCCAGCAGTGAATCAGAGGAAGCTTCCGGCTGCAATTGTTTGCACCATGTCAGTCGTAAAGTTATAATGCGCATCCCAAAGTCTCAAGCGGCATTCAATTACTATTTCATTTGCATTGAGCAGATTGTACTCGGGCCACACACGGCACGCTGCTGTTAAATCAGATTAGCTGTTTGCAGATAGGAGACGGCCAGAATGCGCAAACCTGTTCTTTGATGTGTTTTTCCGCCTGACATGACAAGTTACGAGGGACCAGCGACGTAACCTGCACAAGGCTATCAATGCGTTTATGGAGACACGTCATAGAGTTCAGCTCTGCCAAACCAACTTAAGGGAAAGTGATCGAGAGAAAAGGTGGACTGTATGACCATATCAATCATACGTCTGCCATTTTACCAGTGCAATAGGATTAAACAAGCTGAATGCATCCGGTCACTACAGACAAGAGACTGCGCTACTCAGACACTTCAATGAACAAGGAGCACAGGAAAACAGAGAGGTGACATTGGCAAAGAGGGTGCTGATCATAAGTGAGTGGATAGAGAGCACTGTCAGCGATGTCACCAGTCTGGTCTCTAGTGAGTGGATAGAGAGCAATGTCAGCGATGTCACCGGTCTCTAGTGAGTGGATAGAGAGCAATGTCAGCGATGTCACCGGTCTCTAGTGAGTGGATAGAGAGCACTGTCAGCAATGTCACCGGTCTCTAGTGAGTGGATAGAGAGCACTGTCAGCGATGTCACCAGTCGTACGATTTTCGCCGGGTGTGTAGCATGTTCGTAAGATAAAAGCCGGACGGGCCGGTGTGCGCATATACGACACCGTCCATATAGAGTTACTGTCCATATAGAGTTACACCCTAAGTCCGATGGCCAGAATCATTCAACCCACTTCCTCCGAGTACAGATCGTCCTGGACTCACCCCCTACCTGTGACTGGACAGTGATAGGAGAAGCAGCACAGTGATGAGCTCATCTCTCTATAACTCTGCTTTCTCCTCCTATCAGCATGTTCCTTGCTGGCACATAAACTGACTGGCTCCTTGTGCTGCTGCTTCTTCTCTGCTGTAAATGGACTGTAAGAGGGTGATACTGGACAGTTTCAGGCACTTACAACAGTTACATTAAAAATAATCCATTGAATGATATTGTTATAGTTACAGAGCCGCATTCACTTGTGTCTGTTGTATCTGCATTGAGTTTAGCTTTAAGTGACATAACCCACCCCCACGAATGCAGGAAGTCATTGCACATTCTTAATTGAAGATAGTGAGAAACAGGAAACGCACATCAGCCACAATGAGAATTCAAACCCAACTGATGTAAAATATACAACAAAGTTGATCTTCACATGGAGAGAAAACAAAAGAAAATGTCCCCGGAGCAAAAAGTCCTGCAACATGTCAGTCTTGCCGGCAGGACACTGCTCCGTTCAGAAGTAGTGATGGGCTCGGGCGTGTTTGCAGCTCCACGTGCCGAGCCCGCCAGGAAGCTGACAGCGCCAATCACAGGCACTGAGACATTTCCCGATCTCTGCAGCTGCGGACCGGGAACACCTCTCAGTAACTGTGATTGGCGCTGCGGCACTGTCAGCTTCCTGGCGGGCTCGGCACGTGGAGCTGCGAACACGCCCGAGCTCATCACTATTCAGGAGATCCTCAAATGAAGCCTGCTGGGAAAGCAACACTTCACGGAGTGTCCATGTTATGGGTCCCCCCCCCAGCTCTCACTGGTTCCTCCCACCAACCTCCATGTCACTACTGTATCCTGCAATATGTAGAGGTCCAAAGAAGAAACCACTGAGAGCTGTGGGGGAGGGGGTCACAGATAACCTTAGAACATAATGGATCCCAGTGCACTCTTGACCGGAAAACCCCAAAGAACGGGTGGGGGTGCTTGATCAACCGCAGATGCCTCTGCGTAACACAAATGTAAATGGTAGAAGGTCACTCGCACACCAAAAAACTTTTGCAGTGAATCTTCTTTATGGACCACCAAAGTGTCACATTGCTTAGTGACGTTTCGAGACCGTCTGGTCCCTTCTTCAGGCAAACAAAACTTTTGTCAAACTCCGGCCCTACAGGAATCCTACAATCCCATCATGCATCTGCCTCTGGGTGTCATGCATGTGGCTGTCAGAGTCTTGCAATGCCTCATGGGACTTGTAGTATCAGGGAAGCTGGAGGGCTGGAATTAGCCTCACCCCCAATGCAGAGAAGATCTGGTTGGGTACAAAAGGCGACGCTTCTAATTTCCCTTTGTCCTGTTTACTAGAATCGGCCCCACAGCTGCTTTTTATCTGCAGATATTTTTTTTCTATAGGGCACTTCATGAGGGCCGCAGCTGTAAACCCGTCACGTAGTCCTTACACAGCAAGAAAGTTCTGCCAAGTCCCTTCACAATCTGCTAACAATTTGGGATTGTGCACATAAGAAATGACGGGAACACTGAGCCGTGCAAATTATTTAAAGAGTGTTAACCATTAATGTTCATCCTCCCCGCAGTGCAGGATACTTCCCTTGTGTGGAGCAGAGATACACTATATTGCCAAAAGTATTGGGACACCCCTCCAAATCTTTGGATTCAGGTGTTCCGTGACATTTTCTTGCTACTAAACATTCCGCGGTCCCCTGTTACTGGTATTATAACATAGTGGAAGCAACTGGGAACAACAGCAACTCAGCCACGAAGTGGTAGGCCACGTAAAATGACAGAGCGGGGTCAGCGCATGCTGAAGCGCACAGTGCGCAGAAGTCGCCAACTATCTGCAATAGCTGTCAATAGCTAGAGACCACCAAACTTCAGTGCGTAGAGAGCTTCATGGAATGGGGGCCAAGCAGCTGTATCCAAGCCTTACATCACCAAGCGCAATGCAAAGCGTGGGGATGCCGTGGTGTAAAGCACGCCGCCACTGGACTCTAGAGAAGTGGAGACGTGTTCTCTGGAGTGACCAACGGGATGCATTAGAGTGGAGACTGCGAGCCCGGCCTTCTCCTCCAACATCAGTACCTGACCTCACAAATGGTCCAACATTCCCATAGACAACTTCCTAGAAGAGTTGAAGCTGTTATAGCGGCAAAGGGCGGAGCCAACCCAATACTGAACCCGACGGTCTAAGACTGGGATGCCATTAAAATTCATGTGCGTGTAAAGGCGCCCCAATACTTTTGGCAATATAGTGTCCGTCTGTCACTCTTCATATCCTTCATTGCTTCACCCAGACAGTAACACTTTTTAAAAGTGTACTCTGCAATATGTTGTCCCTTTAAGAACGCTGCAAATATAGAAAGATATCAGCTGATCCTGACAGAAATGCGCTGCGCTCTGACCTTCCTGCTGGCCTGACAACACAGTGTCTATGCTACACTAAAAATCTCAAGCAGCATTGTTAGTCCTGCCCAGCTCTCGTCTGCTGGACTACAGAACACATCCCTCTCTTCATTTCCATAAAATAAGGGCTGGCAATGATACCTGGGATATCAGAGAACCAGAGGCGCTGTGTTGTCAGCTCACTAAAGGTAGTCAGGAACTCGCTGGATTTCTGGCAGATCAGCAGGTCTAAGAGAGTGCTAACATGGGGAAAAGTACTGAACAGGTTTCTTGGTTGCCGCCTGCGGCTCTTGAGAAGCTTTCACCTCACTTCCTCTCACTGGGATATAACACACAGGCTGTACCAGGGTTAACATCCTCAGCACTCCAGCTGTGGTGAAACTACAAATACCATCATGCCTTTGCCACTGGGAGTGATGCCTGTGGATGTCAGAGTCTTGCAACGCCTCCAGGGACTTGTAGTTCCACAACAGCTGGAGAGCCAAGGTTGCCTACCGCTGGGCTATAAAAAATAACCTGACAGGGGTTGTAACCAGTGTCCCCACTCATGAATTACCCGAGAGGAAGAAAGTGGAGATCTCCCCGATGCGGTACAGATCCTATCTCTTCCCCACACTGTACAAAACTAAGAAGAAAAATGGCTGCAAGGGAAACCTAATGAAGTGTGAGTAGGGGTGAAGGTGGTGTTGGGGAACCTCCATAACTATACTTGCCTAAAACTGCTGGCTCCCCAAAAGTCATACTGACCCAGTGTGTTCAGTCCTGAATCCGCTCAGCCTTTCCTGGTCCAGACACTTGTTCTAGACCAGGGATAGCCAAACTCTGGCCCTCCAGCTGTGGTGAAACAACAAATCCCATGATGCATCTCTCTCTCTCGGGGTCATGTCTGTGGCTGCGAGACTCTGGCAATGCCACATGGGATTTGTAGTTCCACCACAGCAGGAGGGACAGAGTTTGGCTACACCTGTTCTAGGCAACTAGTTCTTCTGAATGAATGCAGCATCAGCTCCCATCATTCACTCACAGAATCTTTCCTCTCATTCCATTATAAAGCCCACTTGTCTTTTGTCTGACAGACCAGAGGTGGGCAACTCCGGCCCTCCAACTGTTGTGGAACTACAAGTCCCATGAGGCATTACAAGACTGGCAGCCCACAGGCATGACTCCCAGAGGCATTATGGGATTTATGTTTAAAGCACAGCTGGAGGGCTGGAGTTTGGCCACCCCTGGGTCAGAGCCTGTGTCAGTTTCTTTCTTTGGTACCATCCTGGTGACAACAGGAAGCGTAAAAAAAATCTCTTCAGAGTGAGAGGAAATCCAGTCTCAGAGCTCGAACACTGAAATGGGGGATGTGCTGGTGTGCGTTGTATAGGGGTGATGCTTTGTGTTGTTACAATGTAAGGCATTGTTTACATTTTTTTTCTGAACTTTATTTAAAATATTACAAAATGACATTTCATTCACCGCAGTGACCTGCAGTGCGGGGATCATGCAGTGAGTTATCTGCTTTTTTACACAACGCACTGCAACCCTCTCTGCCGATCCCTCCACTGGCTCCTACTTCCCAATGAAAAAATTCAAAATACTAACAACATCATACAAAGCCATCTACAACTCTGCCCCAACCTGACCCACCAACATCTCCAAATATCACCCAAACCGTCCTCTCCACTCCTCCCAAGACCTCCTGCTCTCTAACTCTCACATCACCTCCAGGACTTCTCCAGAGCCTCTCCCATCCTCTGGAACTCCTTACCCCAACTTGCTGGGCTATCTAGTAATCTGTATGCCTTTAGATGAGTTTTCAGGGAAGCCAATCCCACCCCAACATAATAACTGTTATTTTACTTCTTCCATGAACTCATCCCACATAATTATTACTACAGATGCACCGAAATGACATTTTTACACTGAAACCAAAACTAAAAAATTTGTCAGGCCGAACCTGAAAATTACTTTTTTTTTTCCAACCTTTTTAAAAAAAAATTACAATTCTTTTTTAAGTTTTATTTTATTTGTACTTTACTGTTGGGGGGCTTCTGGAAATATTGGGGGTCTAAACATTGCCCTGACATCTCCCTTTTAAAATAGAGATTGAGGACACAGAGTGCTCAATTTCTGCAGCCCCGGCACTCAATAAACAGGAAGCTCTCAGTACAGAGGCTTCCTGTTCATTCACAATCTGGAGATAGTAAATATTTACTATCACCCCAGTCATGAAGGGACAGGAAGACTCCGTACTGAGCTGCTTTCTGTTCATTCATAAAGCGAGCAGAGAGTAAATATTTACTATGTCCTCATTCATAAACCGGAGGTGATGTACAACACTTCCTGTTCATTCATAACTGAGGACATAGTAAGCTTACTATGCCCTCAGTTATTTACAAACACTGATTGATCAGAGTGTTTGTGTTCCGCTCTCCATCCTGACTGCTCCGCCTGTCACAGGAGCCGAGCTGTCCTCTCGCACCCCCCTGCTCGGCCTCCTCACAGCTTTTCTCCTCCCTGCTGGACACCAGCAGCTGGATCGGCTCTGTGTCCCCTCCGTTCCCCGCTGCCTCTGCCGACACAGGTTTGGGGATAGCAGCTGGGATCAGAGGGGACACAGACCAAAGCTTGCAGCCGACGCCCAGCAGGGAGGAGAACCACATTTTCAGCCGCATCCTCCATTCCTGTCCCCACTGTAAAATGTTAGATTTCCTATCACTTCCTGTCATATAGGGTAGGGTGCTTCTTCCTAGCAGAACACACAGAGCAATACAGACCTGACATAATTGGCTTCTAACCCCTCCCACTCCATCCAAAATGAGACAAAATAAAGTTTAGGCTGTACTTGTATTTAAAGTGGAACTCCAGACACAAACACATCTTTAGGCAAATAGAAATTGCAAAAGCGGTCTGCAGTGTGATGCAGCACAGAACTTGCATGCATTAAAAGGAAGAGGATGAACATGACACCCTTGTCATAGGAATCGTGAACTATCACGCAGCAGCTATGGAGGGGGTTGATGGGTCATGCCCCACCTTCCCTGGGCACACCATTATCCAGCTGTGCACCCCTCCCAGTGTGTGCAGTCTCCCCGAAGGTTACCTGTTGCCACCTCAGTGGCTGCACTGTCCTGCTGTCCGGTGACAAACTCTTCCACCAGCCCCCACAACGCGCTCTGCGCCTCAGCCATGACCGCCCGGGTATACTGGGGGACAGCAGCCAGACGCACGCTGCGCATGCGCTACCACCGCACGCTGCTAAGTCCGTCACGTGACCGCGGGCACGGTGGTCTGGACGCAAGAGCGCCACCTTCCTCCCAGGCTTCCGGTCTGCAGCCCGGCTCCGCTCGCACAAAGATCAGCCGGAGGAAATGAAGGCTTAGGAAAAATGGCCACCGCCGTGAAGCAAGCATACGGGACTGCGGACACTTTCTCACAGACGGTTTTTGTTTTGTTTTTCAGAATTAACTCAGTTATGTAAGGTCGTGTAGTGTCACGTGACTTGAAGTTCAAAAAGGGGGAAACTTTATTTGTTAAGAAGTTTGTTTTGTTTTTAGAAGGGATGGGATGAGATTTTATGTGTGTTTTTCTTTCAGTGACCCATATTCACTTTGTAGGACAGTGACTGATTATAGGGAGTGTATAACATGTGCAATACAAATTGCACTTTGGGTATATAACTTTCATTACAATGCCATTTTCGCTCAACTTGATTTCAAAGTGTATGTAAACTAGGGTTTCCACCTTTTTTTTCAAGCGAAACCCGAACACTCTCGCAACGCGCTGACATTTGTTTGGGGAGAATGAGTCGTGTCTTGTTCATATGTAAATATCACAGTTGAGACTATTTTCAGTGGTGGGCCAGTAGCCCCTATCTTAATTTTGGTTGCCCTTGTCTGCCTGGCATCTTGTCTCCGGGTTTCTGCTGCCATGAAACCCGGATACAGTATTCAAAACCCGGACTGTCGGGGTGAATCCTGGACAGGTGGCAACCCTAATGTAAACCCTAACAATAAACGTATTTGCTACATTTTGGTCTGTTGAATACACCACTAAAAGCATTTTGTTATTGCTTAATAAGTGCGGGGGGAAAACAATCCTGCCAGAAATCCAGTGAGCTGATAACTTCCTGTGTGACTGTTCTGCCTCTATTGACTAATCATCTAGCAGTGTTCCTATGTCTGTGTGGACTACAGAACACCACTATCCCTTATGTTATAGCAATGAAGACATGGGGAGGTGTTCTGTGGTCCTAACACACTTCCTTGTCAAGGTGACAATGCTGCTCCTTCATAGATACAGTACTGTGAGTGAGCTTTGTCACCTTTGGGCAGAAAGTGTTACTGGCTGGATCACCACTGTCAATCAGCAGAGGTGGACCTGAAGTTCTCCTTCTGTCAGGTCCTCCTTTACTGACTGACAGCAGCAGAGGGCGGGTGCAATAGCCAGTTCGCTATTGGCTATTGCGAATTGAAATTTTGGCTATTGAAGCCAATAGCAATCTAGCTATTCATTCCTATTACCTTTTTTTTATTTTTTATTTATTTTGTTGGCTGCAGCCCTCAGAACACTAAAAAAACAGCAGGTAGCAAGGGAAGCATTAGCTTCTTTGGTATCTGCCATCATTTCAGGGGGGGGCTCTCTTCCTTGTTGTTGCCCCCCCCCCCCCACAGGTGGGGGTGGGGACAAAGGGCACATCCCTGAAATTTCTTATTTCAGGTTGGGATCCCTGCCCTTATGAAGATTAACTCTTTCTAATTGTCCTGGTCACCAGGAATGAAAGTAAGGGGATATCCAAAAATTTGAAGTTGCCACCAGAACAGGAATAGAAGGGAAATCTTCCAATGGGAACACTCGTCCCTGTGACAACTGGTTACGGCCCCTTTCACACAGGCTGATCAGGAGAGGATGTGCACAGATCCCATCCTGATCACAGCGGTAGGGAGCGGAGTTCAGCGCTGTGACATTCGTGTCTGTACATCTGAGACCCGTGCCAGTCTATGGGAACTCAGATATGTGTCCGTTTACATCAGAATACTCCCAATGTGGCACGATCCAGTCTGGTGAAATGGAAAGCACTGTTCCGTTTGTCTTTCTTGATCCGACCGAAGGCAGGGGTACCCGGGTGTAAAAGGAAGCCTGTCTGTTTACACGCGGCTGCCCATAGACTTGCATTGGGCATCCGATCGGAGTGGCTGTATGAAAGGGGCCTTAAGAATTCTCTCTTATTGGAAAATACATTCTCCTGCTTGCTGTTGAGTCTACAGGACAGGAACTGAAGGCAATTTTCCTTAAAGCGGACCTTTACCCCATCTTTAAAATAACAACAAACACACCTTTAGAAATGTGTAGTAATGGCAAACTACAAACAGACACTTTTAGATAATTGCCGACTTTGTAATCTTTGCATACCTTATTTCTCTATTTTGGCCACTAGATGGAGCTGAGCATATATTTTCTTTTCAGGTCAAATGTATGCAATGCAATACTGCATTGTGACCTGTAGATGGAGCTGATAAGTATTTATTTCCTGGGCTCCATCTAGTGGTCATAATGCTGTATTACCTTGTATACAGTACATTTGACCTAAAAAGAAAATATATCTTAGAATGTTTGTTTTTGCATTTATTTGCACAAAACTAATGTTCACAGGGCAAATGGCTCTGTGACTTATTTCCAAATAAACCCCTAAGTTTAGCCTAAGAGTTTAGGTACAAAAAGTTGTATACAAACATTAAAGAGGAACGCAAGAGTTAAATAAAAACTAACCCTTGAAGTGGGGCTGCTCGTGCACTGCAAGGCTTAATTGCTCGTTTTGGTCTAGGAGAGGAAATAAAGAAAATATCACCCAATCCTCAGTCCCCTCTGGCTGCTAGACTAGTCTCCGCAGCCTTGTCTCCCCTGGGCTCTGGCAGTTGAAGGGTCCATTCACACCACATGCATTGGGGCTGCCGTGCCCATTGTTTCCAGCGCAGCCCCAGCCCCAGCGCAGCATCCGTGACATTTGCCATGTCACGGATGTACACCGTATTGCAGTGGGAATGCGGTGTGTGCTGTAGAAAAGTAGGGCATGCCTCACTTTATTTTCAGCACAGTGGGATGCGACGTGGAACAACCTCCTTGCACCCCACTGTGCCTGTAATACTAAATGAATAGTGACATGTCAATAAAGCTCTAAGAAAAAAAGTAAACAAAGCAACGTGCTGGGATCGTTGCACAGCACGGTCGACTACCGCACACCAGCCGCTGTACGTTTTGCGCAGTGGCTGGTGTGAATTGGACCCTAAGGACCGCTGACGTCATCACTTCTAATGCAGATCCACTGACTTACATTAGACATGAGGACGCCAAGGTATATACCACAGCCAGAGCGGAGGGTGGGAGTGATGAGCACTGACCATTGCAGGACCAAGGATCAGGTGAGTATTTCTTCTTTTTTCTGCAATTTACATTTTTTATAATAAAGTGCAAAACATGTTATGTCCTGCTTCATGTATTTTTATTAAGGCTGGTAATGATTCAAATTTTCGTGTTCGATTCATCAAATTTTTTTAATCGATTAATTTAGATTAATTATAACGCACATACAGACCCAATTACATTGGCCTACACACATACAGCACAGCAATGAAGTAATAAAATGAACTAGGATGACACTAATCCAGCACTCCTCCCCCCTTCCCTTCGTTAGCCGACGGAGCCACTTGGGGAAGGGGGGGAGGAGTCCTGTGACGTCACCGGATCGCCGATGGGACTCCCGGAAGCCGGCGGAGAGGTGAGTGTTTTCATTAGCAATCAAAATAATTTTAATCGATCAAAAAGTTTAATGATTAATCGAGAAATGAATCTTTAATTTCCACAGCCCTAATTTTTCTATTATAGCGTCTTCCTTTTAGATGTTTTGTGAATCTAGTTTTATCCACATTATCATTTTGGGGAAAAAAACATATTACACTTGTAGCTGCCATGAATTCACATTTCTGTGTTTTAATAACATATTGCAGTTAACAATAGTCAACATTGTAGAGGTTTGTCTGCTACATCGATTCAGAAACATCCTTTGCCCTTTCCATAAAGATTATTTCTGATTGTACATTCACACAGGACTTCCAGGGGCTGTCATGAGTATCACATGTACAAAATACAGCAAAGAGTATAGAGACAGTTTGTACTTTGTGGTTACATTTCATAAATGCAGGAAATGGTGAATGTGAATAGGAATGACTTCTGTGACGTGAGTCTCCTGGCTATGCGGAACATGTTACAGCGAGGATCTATATCATTTCTCTGAGCAAAATAGACAAACATTTTATTCAAAGAAAAACTCCACCTAAAAAAAACACACACACGTCATACAAGTCATTTTTTAAGTGACCTGTACATTCCAATCTGTCGCAAGGATTTTCTATTACGGTCAGAAATCAAAATTTCCCTTCTTTGCAACCATTGGAACAGTAGCCTACAAAGGATTTCTCAGACAGCTCATCCAAATGTTTACATGGTTTCTCTCTGCTTTCCTTAGCATTCTGCACAGAGTATAAAGCCCATCTCCGGGATACTCTAAATAGTTTAAATGCCCATTTTACTTACCTAAAGTCATGGTCACGTGATCCTCCTGTACTGAGTTGTCTCTCTTGTCTTGTTTACATCCAGTGGATCCTTCTTCATGCGCATGGAATGACATGGGCACTTCCTATTGGCTACTCAGCGGCAGGGTCCTCTCAGGATCCAGAAGAAGAGTGACATCAGCATGAGGGGACGTTAGGGGACGTTAGGGGACCAGCTGTCTTGGAAGCTTTTGCAGCACTGGAATAGTGGTCCACCGTAGACATGTGCGATTTGTTTCGTTCCGAAGCGAAATTCGGACAAATTTTTGGAAATTTGGACATTCGGATGTATCCGAATTACAGATATAACAAATGTAAACGAATCCAAATTTCCGTTTCCCAAATTCATTAGCGGTAGTTCGTTCGAACATTCGTTTTGTTTTAATTTCTTATTCGTTTCGTTCGTTCGTTGCAGCAAAGTGACATTAGAGAAGGAGAAAAACATTTTTTTTCCTCAAATGTCACTTTGCTGCAACGAATGAACGAAACGCATAAGAAACAAAAACGAACGTGCGAACGAACTACCACTAACGAATTTCGTCCGAATCCGAATTGACTTTCACACCTGAATCCCGAAAAATGAAATAACACAAAATCCGAATCAAAACGAAATTAAACACATTTTTTGCCAGTGCACATGTCTAGTCCACCGCACTGAGAAA